AAAACAATATTAAACAAAATCTCAAAATGTTCATATTTTTCTCGATCGTTATGTATAAAAATAAATAATTCATTTCATACCTTAATTTTATTTTATTTTTTGCTTTCTCTCAAATTCTGAAAAAAATTTTAAAAAAAATTCAAAATACCCATTTTTTCTCTACTTTTTGCTTTTTTTTCTTATTATATGAAAAAAAATTCATAATTTTTTTTTTGGATTTGGATTTAAAATAAATTTCATAATAAATTTTTGAAATAAAAAAAAATTTGCTTCCATTCTTTCCAATACATAAAAAATTTTCTTTTTTGGTTTGAATATGAGAGAAAGCAAAAAAAAAAAAAAAAAGAGGATGAAATTAATTATTTATTTATATATATAAAGGTAGAAAAAAAGAAGGCCATTTTGTTTTAATTTTTTCAGATTTTTTTAAAAAAAATGTCACATGTTAGTATCCTATGATTCCGTAGTCGAAATTTGACATAATTATCAAAAAATTTAATCGAAGAGATAGACTTAAGATGCAAATTAAGAATAAAGATATACGATTATTGAAAAAAATAATAAATGAATATGATTAAAATAAATAAAACAGTAGATGGATATCTTGAATTTTTAACTCTCTAAAACAATCATTTTTCCAAACAAGATTATAAACCTATTCCCCTCCATGCTCCTCCTCCCTTCTCTTTCCCTCCATTTATCCTTTCCCAAACAGACTGCAAAGCTTATGTATATCAAAATTTTTGGATCATGTCAATTATATAGAATATTTTTTAATAAGCATCGTAAATAGCTTCCAGGATGAAAAGAATTCCATGGTCATTGCCAGATTTTTATAGAATTCGATTCATCCTCCATTACAAAGCATAGAGCACTAGAATAATACTTTTTCAAGAATCTCGTAGTCTTTGAGGGAGTGATTAGAGAAAGCTGGAAAGTTCACTTATGAGAAACAAATGCCACCTAAATGTGCACGTGGACAATGATATGCTGTAATCTTCCTCTTACATAGCAATGTGCAGTTAGTTATTATCTGGCTTCATTTTTCGCATGATGGCAGAGCTATATTAAATTGCTTGGCATTCCTCGTGCTATTAAAATAAAATAAATAAATAAATTGTTTCGATACATTCTTGATTCTTCCTATTACATGATAGAGATAGCTGTTTTGTAAAAGCATTTTCAATAGTACTCTTTACTTTTAGTTAGTATTTTTAATACAAATAGAGAGCATCATTAATTATATAGATTGAAGATTAATGTTTTCTCCAATGCTACTCTCTACTTTAACTCTTTATTTTGATAAAATTCATAAAACATTTAATTTTGAAATTTTTCCTCTTGTTTTTCTATTAATCTCCCTCCATCTCGTTTTTCAATCTCCCTCCATTCCCTATTCTTTAGATTTCTAACCTCTTTCTTTATTATTTTTTTTCCATACACCATTACATTTTACAATCTACCTCCATCCCCTATTCTTTAGATTTCCAGCCTCTTTCTTTATAATTTTTTTTTCCATACACCATTACGTTTCATTTCTCCCCTGCCTTCTTTTGACTTCACCATGTTTCATACTAATTTAATCAATTTTATGCTCTCATATTCAGATTCGATGATGACTTAGAGTTGACAATATCCACATTAGAAGATATGCTAAACAAACGAAGGAAAATGTCTTTACGTCATGGATCAATCTATGGGCGTGCCCATATATGGCTTCATAGAGTTCATGGACATCACAAGCTTTTTCATGACTACTTTGGAGAAAATCTTGTGCATTCTTCAAATATTTTTAGAAGAAGATTTTGAATGAGCAAGTCTTTTTTTCTTTGTATTCAATCTGCTATAAAAGCTAATGATCCATATTTTGTTCAAAAAAAGGATGCTATTGGATTTATGGGGTTGTCTTTTTTACCAAAGATTATTCGTTGCATTAAGGATGCTTTCACATGGAGTTGCAGACTGATTTTGTTGATGAATATGTAAGAATTGGTGAAAGCACCGCAATTCAAAGTCTTAAAAAATTTGTTAAAGCATTAATTTCAATTTTTCAAGAGAAATACATGAGATCACCAAACCAAGTTAATATTGAAAGGTCGTTAAAAGAAAGTGAAAGTCGTGGATTTCTCAAAATGTTAGGAAGTATTGATCTGTCCGCACCTGGAAGTGGAAAAATTGTCCGAGTTGCTTGGAAAGGGATGTATGTTGGCCATATTTATGAGCCGACAATAATTCTGAAGCAATAGCTTCATATGATCTTTGGATATGGCACGCCTTCATTGGACTCCTCGGATCACACAATGATATTAATGTTTTAGATCGATCTTTCTTATTCATAGAACTTGCGGAAGGACGAGCTCCACCCGTTAACTATTCGATTAATGGTCATGAATATACAATGGGATACTATCTTACTAATGGTATAGATCCTTCATGGTCAACATTTGTAAAGACTATTTCATCTCCACAAACTAGAAAAGCATAAATTATTTGTCGTGACTTAAGAGTTCACAAGAAAAGATGTTGAATAAGCATTTGGGGTTTTGCAAGCACGATTTGCCATTGTGTGAGGACCAAGCACGTTTTTGGCATCCCGAAACTCTAAAGGATATCATGAAAACTTGCATCATATTACACAATATGATTGTTGAAGATGAAAGACATCTTAGAAATCTAGAGTATAATTATGATTCATTTGATGTCATCCCAAACATATCAATTTCGCACAAGCATTCAAGCAAATCTTTTAGATTTTATTCGATGCCATTATTGCATTAGAGATCGAGATATTCATCATCAACTACAAGCAAGACCTAATCGACCATATGTGGAGACTGCATGGTAGTGATGTCTAATTATGCAATTTACTTGGTGTTTCAAATATGTTTTACTTAATTACAACTTAGGAAATACGCTCCAAGGATAAATAGGTCATGAGGTATTTGAAGGATAAAAATGCATTTTCGTGTTCCATGCTATTTGAATAACAATTGCTCATGAGTTTTTTTATTGAAGTATTTTATTTCTTCTTTCCCGCTCTTTCTTGTTGTTTCCAAGCAAATGTATTTCTTTTCTTTTACTCTTATACACAACATTTGAAAACTAAAACAACACTCGAAATTATATTAGATTGGTTACGGACAGAGTTATTTTATTGTTTCGAAGCATGCGTCGTAACCCTTCGCTCGAAGGATAAGACGACGAGTCAAGTTTCTTCGGGATGGACTTCGGCGTGAAGGGAAGGGATTCTTTGCCTTATCATTGTTGTCTCTTATGGTTTTACTACTTGGACTCTTCTACCGTTTTAGTGCTTCATTTATTTTTCTGGTTATGGCGGTTGTTATAGCTATACTTGTTATTGCTACTCTTTGTTGCCGTCAAGTGAGTATTATATTGCGGCATATGTGGAATGTTTCTTCTTACTAGTTACATACCGCATGATAATGATATAAAGCATCCCTCACAAGGGTAAAAATCGATACTATTGTCATAGTGTTGTGGAAATTAAATTTGTGATTCTCTTATTTGATATTGATGAAATGCTATTAAATCTTGTTATCATTTAGATGATGGTGAGTTTTGGTCTTTGGTGGGGGGCGGGGGGAGTATGGATGGTCTTTGGATTGAGGGTGTTTGATGAGAATTTATTTGTTTTCTTTTCACACATGAAACACCGATTATTAGCAAAATGAATAAAAAAAGACTCGAGAGCACTATAGTCTTTAGATTATGGGTGTTTTGATAAGAATTTAGTTGTTTTCTTTTCAAACATGAAATACCGATTATTAGCAAACCGAATAAAAAAAAACTCGAGAGCACTATGGTCTTTGGATTGTGGGTGTTTTGATGAGAATTTATTTGTTTTCTTTCACACATGAAACACTAATTATTAGCAAAATGAATCAAAAAAGACTTGAGAGCACCTGCTGGCTTTTGAATGTTGGTCTCGTTTTGAGCAAGACGAGTCATTGCACATTTCTTTAACCTATACTATGCATAAGTATATTTTGGAAGTAGAATTTCTCGGTTCGTAATGCTTCGGAGCACTAATGGCATCATCATCAAACAAATATTTCCTTTTTTGATTTCCTAGTTCTTTTTCCGAGATTTTTTTTTGTATCTATTTAATTATCACTTGGCCATAATTTTAATCAAAGACAGAGCTAACTATATAATTTATCAAATGGCTTTTTTTCCCCTTCATGATTTTCTCCAATACTCGTGAATATTTTGATTGGCTTGTAACTTCGTTTATTTTTCTCTCAAGCTTACACGGCCCTCCGGGGTTTTCATGTCTTGGGGTTCCCATTATGCTAGATGTTTACATCTTCTTCAACATCTTCATGTTTGCTCAAGTGCACTTTTAAAGAATCATTTTTATAAAAATCCCTCCTTACAAATTGCCAATTCGAAATCAAATGATTCTTATAGAAAAACTAGCTAATGATGGTTGACTTTGCTTTATGCGGTTGTACCATGAAGCATGGGTGAGATTTTTATCCTCGGCATCATCATGATTGGAATATATGCATTCTTCGAGTAGTATCATGCCAAAGCAAGTTCGGATGAGACAGCTTATTTATTAGAGGACGCCTACGGAAGAAACTTGATAGTTACATCCGAATATTCCTTGTCGTCCGTTGTAGCATTTGTTCTCTTGTATTTTACCATGTATAAATAAGCTTATGACTATTTGTATAAATGACATTTATTCATGGAAGCCTTCATTAGAAAGCCAATAATAACGAGCATCCTTTTGTAGATTTTCCCGAGCATGACAATAAAAAAGTGTAGTTTCACACTTATTGGCAATTTTTCTATTGCATCTTATTGATTAAGTTTTTAGTTAAGCTTCATCATGACACAATTGCCTTGCTAGCCCAAATCGAAGACCAAATGGAGGACTTATGTATTCTGAAAAAAGAAATGGTAAAAGAAGATGATACCATCACCGGCATGATTATTGCGAGTTGCACATGAAAGATAGAGTCGTGAATTTGATGAACCAAACCGATGTCCTAGTGAACTGGTTGAGAGTTAATGATCCAAAATCGCTTGTAACAAAGGCAAAGGATGAAATGGATGATGGTGATGCATTTGAAGTTGTTGATGAAGAGTCCGGATTATTGATAGAATACTTGGCGGCAAATAGGGCCTCGGAGGATTTAATATATGCATTGGACAAAGCGAGTTGAACAAGGAGTGGTGAGCTTCGATGTATACGTTGGGCCTTAGAGGATTTAAAACATGCATTTGATGGGGAATATTCGATGAGCATCCGGACTTAAAAGATATTAGAAGAGAGAGAGTAAATCAATATCAATGCCTGCCTAGCTAAAACCAAAAACAGAGGCACATGATCAATTTCTAAATTCTGCTGTAACAAATTCCGTAACAAGACAAAAATTCTACGAGTAAGACAACTTATGCGAGTAACAAATTTTCGTAGCAAAGTCAAATAATCAAAGCTCAAAATTGTTCCAGCCTACTACTTTTTTATCTCAAAATTGTACTAGCTTATTGCTCCTTGAAATCAACCGAGTTTTAGACATTCGTTGAATTATTTCTTCTTGACGTTGATTGTAAAAGTTTGCAAGCATTTGAGGCATCCCGATTGTATCTATAGCCATGATCCTTTCATCCTTCTTCATCCGTTCTAATCGTAATTTTTCTTATTCAAAAGCAAGTCTCTCTTGTCCTTGAATGTATATCTTTTCAAACAATTATAGCTTCTTTTCATTGTGTTGCTTTTTTTCCTCTTTCATTTCTTGTAACAATTTCACACATGAACCCGAAGAGTCATTTTCCATATCTAATTTGCTCATCTTCTTCTTATCTTTTTCAGCTTTCCTTTCGGTTGGTCTCTCTCGCATCCTTCTAGGTGGTCTATCCGCATCCACAAACTCATAACTTATAATATTATCATCTTCAAGATTCACTTGAGTCTCTAATGCAGCAGGACTTTTGTCTTTCTTTTTCATTGGTTTTTTCTTTTGACAATCTTCCTTCCATTTTGGTTGAAGTCTCAATACATTCCAACAATGTTCATATTGGAATTTACACTTGTATAGCTCTTGGTATAGGAGTTTTGCATTAGCAATATGAGAAAATAAAAACAACATAAACTTAATAACACATACCACTATATGAACAAGAAATAAGTAAAAGAATACCTTATCTTGCTCACCGATGCCACTTTGGTGTCTTGATTCAATTTGAGCATAGCATCCATAAAATTTGTTTGTAGCTAATTAAATAGTTGACCAACAATTCATCAAAGAAACTTGTGTACGTTTCGATTCAAATTTTTTATACTTATGGAAGTAGTCATACAATCGTGCCCAATATGTCTTGTGTTTTTGTTCATTCCCTTGTACGAGTAACTAAATTGATATTATGCAATGCCGACACAATTAGAAGATCCTCTTCTACAGTAAAATTGCCCATGAGATCTTTTTGAACTAGATTCAGTTGGGATAGATAAATGTACTTCACTTGTATTGGTGAAATAAGATATATCATCACAGTTTGAAACTTGGGTTGAAAATAAAAGGTTTTCGAGTGGAACCAATACGCAAATTTCCATCAATATCAACCGATAAATTCATATTGTTACCGATATTCAACTGGTTCAAATTACTCATAGTATTCGGAAAGACTAAAAAATCTAAAACAATGAAATAAGAACATCATTAGCTACAATTGGATAATAAATCAAGTTCTTTATTTGGTTTGAAAAAAATATTAGACTTCCAATCATTGGTCGTAAAAAGAATTGGGTCAAAGATTGGACTCACCCGAGACAATGGTATGGTGATTCTTTGGAGAAGGTGAAGCTTTGTGCTTTGCTTTGATGGTTTTGGAGTCGAGATAAAAAAGAATCTTGACTTTGAGCGTTTTCCTCTTTGTGAATCTTGTATGCCGGAGGTTTTTTTGATCATCCTATATGCCGGAGAGCATTGTTTTGATCACCCCAAAGAGATCGTTTTTCTTTTTCTTTTTTATCAAAAACCTAGAGAAATTGTTGATGAAGAGGTCGAGTGGCATAGAGAATAGTAATTTTCATTAATGAAATATAAGATAAAGAGTCATTTGGACTCTTTAGTATTGGAGAGCCAAAGACACTCTCTATCTCAATTTTAAAAATAGAGATTGTGATAAAGAGAGCATTGGAGATGAAATTTGGGCTAAACCTCTTTATTATAAAGAAAAATCTTAATATAAAGAGAGCATTGGAGATGCTCTAAGTACATTAATTTTTAAGTTTTTTTTAATCGAGCATCCGAATTTTATTTTTTTATTCGATTGCATTAATTTTTTCAAAATTATTAATCAAGTGTTTCACTCTAATTTTTATCAATTACTCCGTTACATGATAATGTTTTTTTTTAGACTATTAAATTATAATTTTATTTTTTTGTTATTGAAAAAGATTTTCATTCTAAATTATTTTATCATTTCCTGCTTTTTTATAATAAATACGCAAATTATTCTTACATTTTGATTTGGAAGGAAAAACTCTCTCCAATAATGAAAGACCAAAATCATAATTTAATAGTATATATAAGAACAAAATACAACATCATAAAAAAAATAATTAATAAAAATTAGATGAAAAATATTCAATTGGTTGTTTTGAAAAAATTAATATATTCAAATAAAAAATTAAAATTTATATATTCAATTGAAAAAATATTAAAAGTTGGTGTATTTGTTACAGTACAATTATCCCTTGTATTATATAATTAGGTTCTGCTTTGTACAATTACGAATTAGCAATGTTTTTTTGTTGTGGTAGTAATTTTTTTTTGAAAATTGCAGGTTATAGAAAGTGTTTGGCGATATTTGCATTTGAAATACTTTCAAGTTAAATTGTAGTGAAAAACCTCGAAAACTTCATTTCATGCCCATGTATGGTCTCTCTCTCTCTCTCTCTCTCTTTTTACTTCCCAACAAATAGCTTCAATAAAAAACGAGAGGGAGGAGGCAGGAGGGATCAGGAGAGGCAGTTCCGTCTGTGGTAATATAAATATACAATAGAGACCTGTTTTGAAGTGGTTCAATTGGTGCTTTTCAATTGTTTTTGTTATATGGGATAGAAGTTTTTGATTGCTGTGAAATCTAGGAACACCTCCTAAGATATTAGTACTATAATATGCAAGTTCTCTCTAACTTTGTAGAGAATAGTCAATGGGGTGATTGCACTTATCGAGAGTGGCATGTTATTGTCACCGTTTCCTCAGACACGGCAACACTTGAAGGAGCACAAAGGAGAGAAAAAAGAGATATTCTTCGATTATCTATAAGGATATATCTATATAATTATTCCAATGTAATGTGATAATCTAGTTTTATTAACATGCACCATATATTTATTGCGAAATTAGAAACGTACAAATCTACATACAAACAAACGACAGAATATGCTTTGGGCTTCCTCAACAAGAGCTCTCTCTTTTCGTTTGTAATCATACATTTTTTTTTACAAGTGGTTACAAAAATTCTGAATTTCAACTTTAAGGCATTTTGTACAGTTGTTTTTTTAAAATATTATATATATATCAATGGATTGTAGTTCAATTGTTAAAGTGTTTTTATTTTTAAAAAAATTTGGAATTCAATTCTCTTATTTGTAAATATTAGTCTGCTAAAGTTTTTTCCAAATAATTTTTATTTATTTATATATTTTAATTGAAAGGTTAATACATAACATGAAATGATTTTAAAAAACCATTATCGTCTTTTACAAGTAATTAATTAGACAGCCAATTGGCATTAGCACTCTCCTCCCTCGAAAATTTTTGAAATTGAAGTTAATTAGACTTGGACCGTTGACCATGCCTTTGGATTTTCGGTAGATGGCACCGTTAATAAAATGGAAATTATGACCATAATTCCGGGTTTGCTTTGCTTGAGCCCGTAAGTATGGTGGCAGCCGATTTATTTGCGAGAAATATGGGTGGCCCTTCTTAAGTCACAGAAGATCAGCTGCTTAAACAAGTATACGAAGATAATAATAAATAATATGATTATAAAATAAGTTCATCATAAGAAATCATAGAAGCAGGGAGAGAGAATCTGTCAGGCTCGTTGATCATACGTTAAGCCTAGTGGTAAAGGCGGGATCTAAATTTCAAAAAAATTATTTTGGCCTCAATTGGCGTTCGGTGAAAGGGATTTTATTTCCAACAATAATAATGATAATAATAAATAAATAACCAGAGAAGATCCAGTCAAACTTTGGTTGTCAAAGTTTCAAAGACATCAAAAACAAATGCAGAGTACTGCGTGCCCCAAAAATAAAAAGCTTTATCCGAGTCTCACGCCTCCCTCCCTAAAAACCAAGCTCCCCTTTCTCCGATTCCTAATATAGTGTCCATCTCTCTCAAGAACCCAATTTCTTGTATAAAAATACTCATCCTTAGCTCACAAAAGGAAAAGAAAGGCTAACAAGTAGAAACAGAAAAGAAACCTTTCTTCCCTCTCATTGCTCATTACTATTTAATCATCATCTACTAATGAAGCAAAAGTGAACCACAATTTTTTTGCTTATCATACCATTCTCTCTCTCTCTCTCTCTACCTCTACCTCTCTTTCCATTTTCTTATCTTTAAAGCTGGTTTGTGTGGAAATGGGCATAAGGTTTTTGAATCTGCAAGTGATTCCATGGTGTTTTCATTTGATAGGCAATCCTATATCATGCTTGCAACTCCAGTCTGAGCCACCAGCGGGTACAATCAAGCTTATAAAATCAGATGGGCTAGTGAAGATCTATGACAGGCCAATCCATGTTTCAGAGCTAATGGTAGAGTTTCCAAAACACTTGGTTTGTCATTCAGATTCATTCTATATAGGTCAAAAGATCCCAGCTCTTTCTGAGAGCGACCAGCTTCAATTAGGCCACAAGTACTTTCTTCTACCTAAACATTGTTTCCAATCTGTACTGTCCTTTGTCACTATAGCTTCCTTTACCAGCCTGTCATTACAGCCTCAACCATCATCTTCAAGAAATGCGTTTCTAAAAAGGGCTGCTACTTGCCAACCTTTTGATATTCAAAAATCTCCAGATGGGTGTTTGAGGATACGTGTATCAGATGAGTTTATATCACAATTAATGGAGGAAGGTAAAGTCATGGAGAGTGAAGAAGATGGGAGTTCAAGAAATTGTAAACCAAAAAGTAAAGTATGCACTACTCCTCAGTTACAGAAGGATTACACGCAGCTTGTTGGGTCACGCCAATGGAAACCAAAGTTGGAGACAATAAAAGAGAACGAAAAGAGAAGGCTTTCTTCTTCATTTGGAATGAAGAGAAGGAAGAAATCTCAGTCTAAAGTGACCCCAAAGAGTACTCATAGATCATCGTCAGAACAACACCTTCACTCAACATCTACCAATCATAACAAGTCTTCTCTAAAAGCCAAGATCAAGATTAAACCAAGAAAGTGATGTAGATTTGTTTTTAGTCTCTTCTCTCCTTTTCCTTTTGTTTTCTGGGGTTTTTATCGCCCTTCCTTTTCCTTTGTTTTCTGGGGTTTTCATCACCCTTGATGTACTGTGTAAAATTAGCGATACTTAATTAGTTAGATCATATACAAAAGAACTGAACGAAAAGGGTTTCAATTTTCCATCTCTCTTTGAATCTTTTATGTACACTATCTCTTTGTTAAATTTTCTCACCAGGTTAATTTGTTATCTGACATTAATAGGGAATTAACTTGCAGCAGTGAATGTTGTACGAACTAGCCGAAAGAAATTAGGGATGGAAAGCTGATGATGGCAAGAAAGAAAGTAGACCCATTCGTCCATTTGGTATGTCTTTAAAGTCCAATAATTTCTGTAGAGAACCAGCAAAACTACAATGGGCAATCATGTGGTTCTACGTAAAGAAAGAAAGGAGAGGAACAGACAAGCGATAATGATATATATCTTCTAGCACATGATGAGCTAGAGTTTTGACCCAAAAGATGCATAAACCATAAAACATGCAAACGGTGGATTCCAATTAATCCACAGTGAATGGATGGGATGCCTATGGGCTGGCAGTACTGTTGGACTGATTAGTGTTCAAAGAAGATCAGCAAACAAGAAAGAGGTGAGCAAATTTTGATCTTCTTCCAAGTGAAACAGAGAAGACGACAAACTAACAGTCAAAGAAAGTCGCCTTTAAGATTTTGCACAAGAAAATGCTACTCGTACTGCCTGCCAAATTGTATGCGTGCGTCGGCTCTGTGACCTAATTTTATATTATTATCAACCAGTGCCTAACTTTTGTGAGCCCCCACCATGTCGATACATGAGATACGTCCACACGTGCTCTACACATTCCACTCCAAAGTCCCAAGTCCAAACCAAACCAAACCCACCCATCCTTTCGTTATTTCGTTTTCATGTCTTTTGTGTGCAAGTCTAAACATGCCTTTTACCTTTACAGTGTCCAAAGTTGTCTGATCCTACTCTTATGGCAACATTGCAAGCCTGTTCCACCAAAAACCAGGATGGATGGAACAGAAAGTTGTGGGTGCTTTGGTCAGCACTCAGCAATGTGTTTGATTGGTTGTTATGATCAATGCTTGCAAAGTAACAGTAGTTGCAGGAAATTGTCATCTCTTTTCTTCCTTTCTAAAAAAATATTTACCCACTGTTACTGTTGTAGCCTGCCTGTGATCCTGTCTGATCAACCAAAAAAAGAAAAAGACAAGAACGGAGTAGACGTTAATATGTTTTGTTAAGTAGGAAACCGGAGGGTAAAGAGATTTTGCACTCGAAGAAAAATCCTTTTGGACGCAGACCGCACCAGTGTCTTGTTACCATATTTTTACCCTTGACCAGTGAATTGTTTTGACCGATTCTAGAGCCCCGCGAGTCGTGCGACCATATTTAGTAGTAGACCAGTCCAATAGGATATGGGATGCTACGTCATGTTAATGGAGGCTGATAAAGTTGATTAATTTTGACTGCCAGTTGAATTTATTTGGAACAGTTCTTTCCCCTGCTGTTGCTTTATTCCTTCTTAAACAATATTTTTTAATTGGCAATTAGCTAAACCCTCTCTCCGTTTTTTGTTTTTTCGATTTGGGAGTCAATGTTTTTCATTAAGAACCATAACCTAAAACTACTACAATTAAATTGAAGTATTATTAGTGAAGGGCGTTCATTTTAGTGGATTGTGCGCACAGCCAGGATTGATGACATTATTAGCTAATCAATTCATACATTATACATAACAAGAAACATAAAAATTACTACATTCATGATTTTTTTTCCTTTGTATATAGTTGTGTTTGGGTCGAGAATGGACCACCGTACATTAAAACTTTCTTGTAAAATTGTCCGGGACAGCTTATAAACTAAAAGTTGAGTTTATTTTTAACGTGTATGAAACTGGAAGAAGAGTGACTGTAGCCACTGAAATTATCTACGAGATAGAAAAGTAGAGAAAGAAAAACTCAAAAACTTACTGCATATCCCTCTTTAAACATTTGGTAAATTCTGCCAGTTAATTGAATAATTGCTAAGGAATTGAACAGTAGTAATGTAATGCAAAGATGAATTCAAAAGGATCCGATCAATAAGAAAGAAAAAAAGAAGAAATAAGGAAATCAGATGATGGTTTTCTTATTGAAATAGAAAGTTTACAACATTGGAGAAATAAAGAGAATATGAAAACACGGAGAGTCGGAGACATTGCAAAATGAATATAACGCCAAGGATGAAGAAATTTTATAATAAACAAAAAAGTAGCTAATGATACATATAATAATTATTTTATAGATTTATTATATATATATATATATATATATATATATATATATATATATATATATATATATAAAAGAGAGAGAGAGTAATAAGAAAAAAAATAAAATAAAATTATGCAAACATGAAAATTTTTTTATCATTTTTAATTGATTCAGATGTAATTTTTTTTATATGTCTATTTTTTAAAATTAGATTTATGAAATAATTACTATATATATCATTATTTATTTCTTAAATATTATAAATTTTTTTGCTTATTAAGTATTATAAATTTTTTCACTACAATGGATCTCTGGAAAACGATCTCCTTCACCAACCAACCAAGCTGTCTTTCCTACCCATATTTCCACCTGTAAGGTTTGGACTCGTTCAATCTATGTAAGGTTTTGGACTCATTCAATCTATCAATCTCCTGACATCTGTCTTCACAACATTATTCTCCATTTCTGATAGTATTTGAACCCGTAACACATTGTCTGCGATATAATTCAGGTGCTTGCAGTAGTCCACCATACGTATTTTCTTCTGTGATCACGCATTGATCATCTCAAATACACAAAGATCCTAAAACTTCTGCAAACTTTACGATTTGGAGTAGAGGTACATACACTCCTCGCTTTCCTACACATACGTATTTCATCATCTTTCTTTTATACGTTTCATATATAATAACCAAACTATTTAAACAATAATAATTAAAATTAAAGCTGTTGCGAATCCTAAATAAAAAAGATAATTATACGCTTTTATTCAGTTCAATTAGATTACAATTTTTATTATATTTGACATTATTGCAATATCTGTCTAAAAATTTTTCATTCTATATTGATCCTCCAATAATTTAAGAATTCCAAGCATACATATATTAATTTATAAAATCAATCTTTTTTCTCACTTAAACAAAAGCAATTAATCAAATAAATATATTCAATATTAAGAATCAAAATATAAATTTCAAAGTATAAGGACCAAACTGTGATTTTGGTGTTCAAACTACAAATATGTTAGCCCGTTTTTGCAGTTTTTATTTTGGAAGGAGTTTGATTGAAGACAATCTATTATAAACAATTACGAAACAATTTTCATTTTTTTAATAAAATAAAAAACATGTGTTGTGAATCCAGAAATCCTTTAGTGATTTTAAAAATTTACAATCATTTTAAATTTTATAGTTATGATAAATTTTATTTTTCTCATGTATACTAGATCTTAATTAAATTATCAATGTTAACATAACTTGTCCATTCATCCATTGATCATAACCCGTCATGTTATTAAAAATGAGAAATCTTTTACAATCAAACATTTGATACCCATATATATATAACTTGTCCATTCATCCATTTGACATGTCTAATTAAATTATTAATAAAATGTTTGATGTTATCTACTAAATAATTAATTTTCTCTCAAAAATTAATTTTGTAATTAAAGAACTCAAACCTACCAATTTTTTAATAAGTAATAATAGATTTAGACCTTTTCAATTTTATAGCTAAAAGTAAAAAGGAAATAAACTATCATTTTTCTCACTTGACAAAGTTGAAGAACCGAAAAACTACAGTACCTATGAAAAGAAACGTTTTAACATATTATTCATATACTTCATAATTTTTTCCAATACCTCATAGCAAATTTGGAATAATTTTAACTATTAGAATATTATAATTAGTAAATTATTATTTTGTCCCTTTGTTTTTGATGATTTTGTAAGTTAGTCTTTTTTTTTAATTTTATTTTGAAATTTCTAAATTATCTTTTATAAATGTTTAGTATATGAGATTAGAAAATTTGACCAAAAATGAAGGACAATGAAAAAAAAATTAAATGGTAGAAAAAAAATAAAAAGATTAATTAGGTTACAAACAAATATGAAAATAAATAAATATATTAAAATAGAGGGATCAGATAAATTTACTCCATTACGATTTGCTCCAAACTTATTTCAGAGAGCAGTACTACAAACCACATTCTTTCACCTGCCTTTTCTTTTAATCCATGCATGTAGATTATTTTTCATATTTCACTCATGAAATTGACACTTGCCATATGATTGTAAAGATCATTAAGATATGATGACAAAGGATCATCATAGCATGCATGGCCATGTAAATATATACGGCTTAGGTTTTCATATAATAATCAATTAATAATTTCACAAGTTTTGACAATAGATGGACCACCACAAAAAAATCTTATTATTTTAAAAAATGTCTCAATTGATATTGTCCCAAAAATAATTAAAATTGATCCATAGCAAATTAAAGTACTCCTGTTAATGCACTCCATGACATTATCGATATGAATTTTTTTGCCAAAAATATCATTAATATAAGACATTATACTTGAATTATTTAATTTACTTGTAGTTATTGATACCTAACACGGCATTTGAAAACTATTTTGAATTTCAAATATTGACATGAAAAGAAAGAAAAACGTCTAAATTTAAGTTGATTGTTAATTATCTCGTTCTCCTCCTTGTTCCTCTTCTTCTATTTCTAAACTTCGTGTTGTTTTGTTTCCTCCATTATGGTGTCTTGTTTTTTTTTTTTTTAATTAATATTTTATTAATCAAATAAAAAATTATTGATAGCTCAGATCCTTCCTCATATAAAATATATGCTATTTAAATAAGATTAAAGACTAAAAGTATCTTTTTTTTTTTTTAATAAAAATACATTAAAAATTGAGCAATGATCTCCTACCTATGTACAAGTTCAAAAAAAAAAAAAAAAAAAAAAAAAAAAACAATTAACAAAATATAATTATGCACCCTTTTTTTTTTTTTTTTGCTTGTCAACATTAGTATCCCTTGTTTGATGCCAAAATCAATCACAATTACAAATGGCATGATCACTCACATGATTTTGCAATCCAGGATAGGCCACACATTCGGATCTTGCTCTCATGCACACATCGCAATCTTCACAAACTTTTCACTATTCACCTCATTGATGCCCAATAAAACGTTGTCTTCATTCTTTTGCATGAGTTTTGAGCACCAATTGCGGAACTAAGCACTGCCTCTAAGTATTTTTACCTCAATTGCATATCTTCTCCCACAAAGATCCTGTTTTTATACCTCAGTACCCCATCACAATAAGAACATTGAGAATGTGTCTGGTTTAGTATTTTAGATGAAATCATTCCCCAAGCTTTCCGATCTTGCATGTAGGTTTCTGAAATCTCATTATACCATGTTGGCACAGCAGCTGTAATTGGTCCAAAGCTACCATGACAAAGTTTCTCAGCATCTTCATTAGCAATTGGTACGCTTCTTAATAAAGCATCAGCCATCACATTCTCCATCCCCCTCCTAAACTGGATCTCATACCTCAGTCCTCAATCCCAGCAGCTTAGTTAGTCCTTTCTTCTGCATTGATGTATGAATTTTTTTTTGTTCCAGCAAGTGCTTGAGATTCTTATGATCTGTTCTTATAATAAACTTCTCATGTTCCAGATAATGCCTCTAATTGTCAATAACCATTAAGATTGCTAGATGCTCCTTATAGACCTTCTTCTAGATTGACATACCCAATTGTTAGTGGCCTTCCTTGTACCAAAACTGCTTATATTCCCACTCCATAAACATCAGCTTCCAGAACAAATACTTTGTTGAAATGGGGCGAGGCCAGATTTGGAGCCCTCACAAAGAGCTGTTTTCAATTTCTCAAACGCTATTTGAGCTCCTTCATGCCAAACAAATTTATTCTTCTTAAGCAATCCAGCGAGAGGCTTGCTAATGACTCCATGTCCTCTTATAAACTTTCTGTAACATCCTGCAAGACCTAAAAAGCTCCTTAGCTCCTTTACAGAAGATGAAATTGGCCAATCTCTAACAGCAGTAGTTTTATTAGGATATATTGCAAACCCACATCCAAGATATTACATGCCCCAGATACTCTACTTGTGATCTGGTCATATGAACACTTCGACATTTTTGCAAAGAGCATGTTCCTTCTCAGTACATCCTGAACCATCTTGAGATGTTTAACGTGTAGTTCCATTGTAGAACTATACACTCGTATATCATGGGAAAAAAACAAACCCTACTAAACAAACTTCCTAAAGAATGGCTGTAACAATTCCTTCATCATTACTTGAAAAATAGCAGGCGCATTCGTCAGTCTAATGGCATCACCCTAAATTTATAATGTCCTTGGTATGTTCTGAATACAGTTTTACCAATATACTCCTCACATATACGAACTTAGTGATATCCAACCTTCAAGTCAATTTTAGAAAAGAAATGAGAGCCTTCCAAGAGATCATCGATAAGAGGAATAGACAATTCTGACTACTCACCCACCTCAGCTAACAGAATAACTGACTGCACGGGGTTATTCTCCTCCCAGCCCTTACACCTGCTGAACTAAGCACATGTGTACCCAATTACTGAAACGTATCGTTTTATTAACAACAGTGATAGTTCACGACTTGAACCCAAAAAATCAAACACAAAAGCTTGGTATGAAAGTCAAAGGGCACAAGTTGCAGGAGGTGGGACTAGAGATGTCAATAGAAGGATACCATGCTCATTAATTTAATTTTTTTTTAAAAAAAATATTTTATCTATTATTTATTAAAAAATCATTATATAAATCTTTATTCCATTCACATTAGTTTATTTGTTCATTTAATATCTATTAAATAATTTATCAAAATATTTGATTTTCAAGAACAATTTTTTGTTACTTAAAATTTATTATTGTTATTATTTCCGTTTTTAACGTTTAGTTATATGTCTTTTATTTTTGAAAAAAAAATTTAGATTTTTAATTTTTAAAATTTATATAATTAGATCCTTACATATTTTTAAAAAATCAAAATAAATTAATAAATAATAATAATATAAGAAATTAATACTCATATCCTAAAATTATATTAATAAATATGTATTTTTTTTTTACCTTTACCTATTTTAATAGTAGTTGAACATTTTTAATAAATATTTATTAACCTGAATGATTCATGTGCCTCAGATGGGATTAAGACATTGCATCACATCTCAATCTCACAGCTAAAATTAAATCAGCACGTGATTCAAACATAAAGACAAACGTGAAAACACCATTGACAAGCTAATCTTGCAGTCAGATGAAAAGTATTGTAGGGCAGGAGACACTACCAAGCACAAATGCACAACATAGAAACCAATCTAGGATTAGAAACAAAGAGTCAGCCCACGTATATACACAGACATTCTCCAATTGAAAAAAGAGTTGGAAGTTTAGATAATTCTACTCATTACGAATCAGTAACAGAAGTCTCCATCTCTCCTTTCAAAATTTCATAGATGTCACAACCAGGGGCTATTTAATGACTACTTCAAGTTTCCCTTCTGGTAGCCCTTCTACGGGGAGGCACAGCAGCATCTTCGTTCTCATTCTCATCTTCCCTCTCTCCACTGCTTCCTTGGTTGTTTGAAGTCTGAGCAGTATCAGCATCGATTGTTTCAGGTACCTTAACCTGCAAAATTATAAAGAGAATTTGTTTCATGTAGATCGGATAGTACGACGGTGCTTTCAAGAAATGTGTCCAACATACCGCTGGTCTTCTGCCTCCAAAAAGTATTCTAAAGAAAAAGGTGAAAATAACAATCACAATGGAAGCCAGGATGCCGATAGTTATATTGGGCTGTTTTTCTCCCTTTTCGATGAGGTCCTGCAAGACAGCATATAATCTCCACAATAAGTTAATCACATTAAGCAGAGATACGGGACCAGTTTTATAAACAGACAAGTTTGTTCACTCACGATGATCTTAGGCTTGTAGGCATCTAAGAAAGGAATGTCCCTTATCTTGTAGAGAAGATCAAAAACCTTCTTCTGCAAAAACCAAACCAAGAGAATTTGTTACGATATGAAATAGTAACAGGTGAGCACAACCATTTTCCATCACCAAAAAACAAAGCAGAAAAGAACGAGGTATGGTTGAAATGAAGGTATTACCTGGAAGCTAGATATCCCATCTCCAGCAGGTGCTTCTTCAGCCTTCTGCTTCTCTTTCTCAACTTCAAATTTTGGTTTCCATGTCGTTTCTCTGTAAGTGTATGCGACCTTCTCATCACTCGCTATCAGAATATTGTCGAACAATATGCCATCCTGCATGGTCCAAATCTCAATACCAATTGCAGCAATGGGCTCAAAATCAGGTTTCTCAAGCTCAAAGTAATCAGGGTTTTGGATCTCTTGAGGTTTCCATACACCCTTATAATTTGGGTTGTCAATTAGAGGAGCATGCCATTTTCCCTTATAAGCAGGATTTTTCTTCATCGGTCTCTTCCACTCCCCACAGCCAGGTGCCAGCTCACACTTAGGATTGTCAATTTTTGGTGGCTCCCATTCACCATCCTACTCATCATCCCAGTCTTCAGGCTTTGAAGCATCAGGATCATCAATTTCCTCAGGCTCGTCATCTAACCACCCTTCTGGTTTCACAGCATCCTCATCTTCAATTTCCATGGGTGCATTCTCATCCCAATCATCTGGCTTCACTGCTTCTGGATCTGGAATCTTTGCCTGCTCATCCCAGTCCTCTGGTTTCTTATCATCCGGGTCAGGAATTGTCTTGGGTGGAATAAGAGTCGGCTCAAAATCTTCAGAAGATAGGAAATTTACCTTCTTCTTCTCCTCCCCATCTATTAGAATCTCCAATTCATTATCCGGTTTCAATATTGCAGTATAGAGATGAGATAGTTTGTCAGATGGCACTGAAGGGGGTACTTGAGATGGTGCTCTACATACTCCCCGCTCTTGGGATTCTTGTGTTTGAAGATGAAGTGAACCTTGTTGGTGGAGCCACACTTGTCAGGTCCAAACATTATGGAGTAAGGAGACTCATTGTCAAATTCCTTGGGTTTCCATCCAACCTCCTGGGGACGGAGGTATTTCAAGTAGGCACCACCACACTCAAGTCCATTTTGGAGCCGAACCTCAAACTGTAGGACAACTGTTCCACCCTTGAGACTCACTACATTGTCGAGCTCTTTCACAATGGCATACTTTTTGGCCTTCTCACTGACAAGAAGTCCATGATCATCGTGTCCCTCACTTTTCGAGAGCTTCCAGATACCTAATACAAAATGGATGCCATTATAGAACCATAACTGTTTGACAAGGATGAGACATGTCAATACATCTAGACTAAATGTACTGGAGATGTGATTTTTCAAAGTCAAAATTTGTTATTATTTGGAAAATGGAGCTGATCAGGTAACATATCATTTAGGGAGCATCTGGATATCCAATGAGAATTGAATCCAACCTTTTGTCTGACATAATTTCATCCATGTGTACATCCTTTTAGTTTAAGGTTTTGCCAATATTTAGGATGTCATGTATCTATTTAAATCTGGACACAAGTGCTATTTGTAGCAACCCAAAGTTCTCAATATCAATAAAACCAGAATACAACTATCAGTCCATCATACTTTAAAACTTCACTCAGCTTATCTTCATTGTTTCCTTGTTGCTATACTTCCAATTTTTTCCTCATGATTTTACCAGCAAGTTTTGTTGAGGATCTCATTACCCATCCACCAAGTTCCAAGACTTAAGCTAATTAATTTCCTCGTCCCTATAATCCTAACAGATTTTTACTGACAGATATCTAGCATGCTCATTGAATTCCAAACGAGAACCGAGCATTGCCAAACTAGTTTAATTAGTATTTAATTAAGAAACACACTAGACATAGTTCAGATATATCCAGTTTTCGCCCACAGACCAAAAGTCCCTCTCCAGTCAGGTCTTAAGTAGCCCATATCTACACCCAGATTAGGATGTGAATTCAGACATAGTTCAGAAATGATGTCCAAACAAACAGACACAGACACAAAAGAAAAGCACTTCTGTACTTTCTAGTTTCCAGAAAGGAAAAGATGACGCATCAAACTTTATAGCAAAACCCACAATAAAAAGCAAGTTAACAACTATAAGCCGAAAAAACAGTTAGTATCATCAATTCATGATCATCATCATTGGATTGCCATAAATAAAAGCAAGAAAACACTAAAATGGTTATAAGAAGTGAAAATTCAAATAAAAAAGAAAATCAAAGCAAACCTTGATAGTCGTCTTTCTCAGAAACAATCCACCGTCCTTCAAAAGATTCATCAAATGGCTCGTAAAACATCTGAAAACATCAGTCAAGAATACCAAATTTTATGAGATTATTATTGATTTATCATGGAAACAAATAAGCTGGGATTATCAATGAAATTAAGCGTAAAGAAAGGAGAAGTTAAATTAAGAAAGATACCACATCATCAGAATTAGCGCGGATCTGAAAGACAAAGCAAGCAATCAGCAGAAGCTGAGGAATTAGCTTCCTTCTTTCCATTTCTATGGAACCTTACCGATAGCTGAGTCTCCCTCTCGCCTTGGCCTGTAGTTGTACCCCCCAGAATCCGAAACTGGCAACTTGCAAGTTACAACGACCAGATGCGAGGTCGTTTTAGACATTTTACTGGGTCCCAACTTATTTTGTCCGTCTATTCTCTTTGGGTAAATTTCTAGCTTCGCCGATGAGATTTATGCGTTGCATCGATTTCATTTCAAATATTTAATTTGTTTTAGTGAAACCTCGTATCCTTTTCGTATTTATTCTGTTTTCTATTTCTGTTTATTTTTGTTAAAAAAAATAACGATAAAAATTGTGAAATTTTCAATTTAATTTCTGAAATTAATAAAATATTTGAATGTGACCCAAAATATGAGAAAAAATAAATTCAAATTAATAAATTTAATGAAAAAGACATTTTTTAATAAAATAAATATGATAAAAAAGATTTTTTCTCATCAAAACTGTATATCAATTCTTTGATAATAAAAGAATAATATTAAACTAAAAAAAAAGTTAAAACAAAAAAATTCAAAACAACATCAATTCTTACTATAGTTATTCGCCCTACATTCTTTTACTAGCATATTCTATTCAATTCTTCATAAAAATCTATTATAAATTTTTTTAAAAATAATTTTAAAAAGAAAAAATATTGAAATCTTATAGAGTGAAAATACAACAAGTTTGACATCAATTGGAGTCAAATTCATTTGAATTTGATTTTTTGTTTAATTTTAGTCTTCACAAAGGGAAAAATATGTTATTAAATGAGTATTGAAATTAGTATAATTGAGATATTTCATTGTAAACTAACCCTTTTAAGTTTTAATTTATTTTAGTAAAAAAAACCATTCATTTCCCAATTGATTTTCCTTTTTCTTTTTCTTTTTGTCAATTTGAATTTGTTTATTTATTTTTTTACATTTTGAATAATATTGAGGTATCTCATAATTTTGCTATGTGGAATTGAAATTTACACACATTTTTCATCACTAATCTTAACAGAAATGGATAGATGGAGAGAAATTGGATAGAAAGTGAAAGGCATGGAAGACGAAAGAAATAACAATGAAAGATATGGAGACTAGTTGAAATAAATTAAAGCTTTTAGGTGAAATTGAAATAATATCAAAGATTGAAATTTAACCTTTCTTTTGAGGAATGAAAAAGTTAATTATAACTTAGTCCTCGTAGCTTATTAAAACCAATTATTTGGTCCTTATAATTTCAGAACCTATATATTTATTTAATCACTCTATTTTAAAAATCTGTTTTTTTTTTATTTTCATTTTTTTCAATTTCATGTTATTTTCCAAATTCTTTTATTTTTAATTATTTTATGAAAAAAATTAAAAAAGCAAAAAAAAGAAAAAGAAAAAAGAGGAGGTAAGATTGAAAATTTGATTAAGAAGACATTTAAAAAGAAAACTACCAGATTAAGGACAGTAAAAGGAGTCAAAGCATTAATTGATTATTTTTTTATAATATTGTTACTAATTACTAGTTTATTAACAACAAGACTACGTTATAATTAACTTAAACAATAGTAATCCAAACACTTGCTTGTATTTGGAGACAAATTATGTAGCTGAAGCAGCACAAATTATTACCTATAATATTAAAGGAGATGGGAAAGGAACGCACTTTTGGTTTGGTTATTTTCCATTTCACAAATCACCATTGACATATATTAAAAACATTGTGCATGCATTTTTTTTTTTTTTTGTAATTTTAGAACTATTTTTAGTGATTTATATGCAACTTTATTTGAATTTTGCAACTTTATTTTTAGTGATTTATATGCAACTTTATTTGAATTTTGCACTTTGGATCTTGATTTTTTCAAATAATTTTATTTCAGTGTCGAATTTCGTTTATATTATGGTTTAATTGATTGCAAGAAGAGAGAAATGATGATAGAAGAGAGAAAGTCACAACAAAACTCCTTTCGACCAGATTAACTTTCAATTTTGGCTTTAGTTTATTCTTTTTGGAGAATAGAGCTTGTTTATAGTGATTACAAGATTTGAAATGCTTAGAGGAGATAGATCGTAATCCCGATATATTTTGAGTTTTTTTAATTTCATTTAGATTTTTATGTATTTTATATGTTTTAAAATGAATTTTGAGATTTTAAACGAACATATTAGCCTTATTTCTATGATTTTTTTTTTCAGATAAAAATAACATTGAAATTGGTTTTGAAGAGGCGGAAAACAAAATCCTGTTTTTGGCGAACTTTATTCGCCAAAAATTGCAGATGAACAAGAAGCTGTCTGCTGCGCAGCAAGGAGATTTCTTACTGTCCACTTTCTTTCTTTCTGTCTTTCTTTCTTTCTTTCTTTCTTTTTCAGAGCAAGCCTCATTCTCCAGGCCCAAACTTGCAAGCTTCCGCCCTATCCCAACTCTTTTTTTTTTTTTTTTTTTTTTCAGTAATTTAATTTATTTTATTTTTTATTATAGTTTTTTGGATGAAGATTATGAAAGATCCATTGTTATATTTTATATTTCACATGTAGCTTGGAAAATAATAATAATAATAATATGCTTTCATATTTTAAAATAAAAATATATTTCAGATTATATTATTCTTATTGTTTAAGATTTATTATTTCAACTTATCATTTATTATAGAGATTGTTATCCAATTAATTAATTTTTTTTATTTTTCTTAAATTTTATTTATTGCAAAATATAAATTTTTTTATGTATATTTTTTTTGAAGAAAATTTTAAAATATGATTATTTTCTTTTAAAAAATAAATTTATATAATTTATATGATGGATTTTTAAACTTTTTAAATGGTGGTAGCAGGATTATGTATATTATAAATTATTATTTTTAAATCTAAAATAAATTATCTAAAAAAATACTTTCAATCTTTAGATTTAATTTACAAAATAAGTTTTTAGTTAAGAATCCATAGAATTTTAAATTTTCTTTTTAGATTATCATTAAATTGAATTTTTTTTTTTTTTTTTTTTGCCATTTGATATATTTTTGTTGACCCGCAATATAACACAATCCTGCAAATTGAAATGATTTTTTAAAAATAATATTACATATTTTTCCAATCCATAGCGCTGGGCACATAAAAAACTAATAGCAAACCTAAAACAAAATGAGATTTTTCAGTTGCTACGCCACTGTTTGGTCATTTTATGGTATCAAAATGGCATCCTTTTAAACTTTTTTTTGGCATGAAACGATAATGCTTTTCCAAAAAAATTTGAGTGATTATTTGAATTTATTCCACTTTAGTTTGTAGAGTTTGAGAGTTGTATGCAATAGTTACTTAATTTTATTTATAGGAAATTTAGATTTTTGAAAGCAGAGAGAGGAAAGAGAAATTAACCATGAAAATGATGGTTTTGACCCACTAAATGATTGAAAAAGGGAGATCAGAGTTTTGAAGAAAAAAAGAATCTTTTAATTTGATTCGATATTTTAAGTTTCTATAGTGGATTTGAGCATATTTGGAAGTTTATGGAATGGTTCTAAGTAGTTTTTTTATTCGGTTTTTAAATTTTAGTTCAGCTGACCAAACCTATATCGAATTACTATTTGGTTTTTTAGCTTTTGGGTTCTATTTTGGTTAAAACTTTTTTTTTTTTAATTTTGTTTTCAATTTTTTAATTTTAAAAAATGTAATTAAGTAAAAATTTTTTTTTTTTGGATAGACTATAAAGTCTTTCTAGCCCAAATGATATAAATTAGCCTACATTAAATATAATAAATATTTTTTAAAATAAGACTAAAGCATGAATACATCTCACATAATAAAGTATTAAAATTTATTTATAAATCTATAAATTCACATCTAAAATATAAAATGATAAAAGAATATTGGTTGTTCAAATATGTTGTAAGCCGAACTAATAAAATTTAAATAATAATAAAAAAATAAAAAAATGTGGTCCTCAATTACAACTGAACAGAAAATCTCGCATTAAAATAAAAAAATTAAAATAAATTCAATTTAATTTTTAGTTAAAAACCAAATTGTATATTTCGGTTTGGTTGGATTTTTTGATTTAAATTAAATACAGGTCTCTCATAATTATGAGGTGTTTTGGGTCAAATTAGTATAGAGAATGGATGTGGTAGGCCCAAACAATGGGCCAACGTTTTCAACGATAATTTCCATATTCTAGGGAGCAATTTCTATGTTTTGGTCGCCAGCTGGAAAAAAGTGAATTGAACGATGCATTGTCTGTTGTAGGAGCAATGCATCGTTCCCGTACCCCTTTCCTTTCCTTTTTTTTTTTTTTCCTGTTACAGACGACCCTGCAGAGCTTGGTCCAGCATGCGTGCCAGACTACCTCATTCTTTTTTTTCTAATTGCTATATATATATATATATATATATATATATATATGAAGGAAGAAAAAGAATGAGGTAGTTCAGTAAAAATTGTCTCGCATGCATGCTATATATATAATTCTTGAAATTATTATTTTTCCCTTATAAAAAATAAAAAATTAATCATAAGGTATTTTTAAGTCTTTAAATTATAAACATCAATAAATTTAAGCTAAAATTTTATTTTATAATTATTGATATAGTATTGATAGTAAAAGACTAAACATAAACATGGTTAAGTTTATTTGCCCTACTATTTTTTTTTAAAAAAAATAATTAAACTTCATGTGAATTGAAGATTTTTCAAAACAATGATAAACATTTAGTTATTAGTGATTTTTACAACAAATGTTTTATAAATTATATTTATACTCATCGAATATGAAAAAATAATTTAAAATTATATAAATTGAGATGTTCAGAAACATACCCATATTTTACATAAACATTAAAAATCTGTAATTTTAAACTTTTTTTTAGTGTCCATTGAATGTATATAACAATGCGAAAACAAAAACCTATTGCTTTTGATATGAATGAATTTTAGAAAATCATTGAGTGTGATAGTTATTCAAGTTTTTAGTTACTCAATAAATTTATCAAACAAATTACTTCATATCAGTTTTTCTAATTTTTTCAATCAATTTTTTTCATAATTAATTAAAATAGTAAAAAAGATTTTATAAGATTATCTACAACAACATACGGGACATAAAACTAATTGATACCTTAAATCTCAAGCAAGTACAAGACTACGAAAACAGCCTGAAGTTAAGCACCTATATTTGTTATACATTCAAAGCACCCACCAGATCTTGTCAATACTTGTCCGTTTTTAAACAATAAAATGTGTTTTTAAAATCATCTAAAACAGACTTAATTTTGAATATATATATACTGAGCACTGTTTAAAAACTTGTTATTTTAATGAAATCTCTTACCTATGCTAATTTATAGCTAATTCAGTTTTTTGATAGTAACTATTGATTTAAATAGAGGATTGTGCTCAAATATTTTGATGTAAATTTCGGTTCTATATTTTAGAATCAACATACATCATAATTATCATTTTTTTTAACGAATCATTATTTTATTTTATGTTTTGGAGAATCAACTAAGTTAATTTTGACCCTAAGTTTTTCCTTTTTTGTTTTTTTTTTAATAAAAAGTTGAACTTAAGTCGTTTAGAATAAAAAGCACTATTCCTATCTCAAGTACCACTTAACAATGATTGGCATAAAAAATCCGCCTTTAGTTAATTTGTTAATTGAAAAATTATGCAAGCGTTTTCTATGAAAACAGTAATTAGGATTCCAGCTTTCCAAGTCCGAATCAAGCAGTTTTTAGAGGTAGAAAAAAACATTACATGCAAGAGAGCAGTGCAAATTACTTCATTCCCGTACAGACTCCAAGAACGTCCACAGCCAGTTTAAATCTTCCAGGCTTTATTAGAAGTGAAATCCACAAGTGTAGTTCTTCAATCTACTCAAGTCATTGTTGGAATAAAAATATATAAAACATGTCATCAGAGGAAATGGAAGTTTGATGGCGGCAAAGATATCACAGTAGAAAGTCATTACTTTCATTACTCATTAAATGCCCAACCATAAATACTTTGTTGAAATAGAAGCAAATGATTAACCCTAACTACAATGTGAAACACATTCTGTTACTGTTAGTGTCTTGGAAGGCGATGTCTGATCACTCCTCGTTCTTCATCCAACTCGAAATTGGCAGAAGAAAAATCAGTACTCGAAAAGAAGGGTCTAAGATCACTGATCCCACGTTCTTCAGCCTGCGAAAAAATACAACAAAACGCAAGAGGTCAATATAATCAATGCACGGAGGCACGTCCGCTCTGTGAAGAATTAGGCAAACCAAAGTGCAATTTTCCATTACCATGTTCAGCAGGTCATCTACTTTCACCTCTATATGGGTAAGCCCTGACGTGGAACCAGAAATGATTTCTTCAAAGCGCAGTGCTCTCTTCACAAGCTCTTGTAGAAGATTGAAAAGCATTCTATTGTAATCCATCTTGTAAGTGATGTACTTTCTGAAACTCTGCAATAGGATATCAAATTATCTTCAGAAATCAACCACTAAAAACACTAAAATTTATGTAATCAGCAAACTGCCCTGGTCAGCATATTCAATGTGTCATGACATACAAGTTGTAATAGTAGTGAAATAGAATATAGAACTGGCTGTTATAGTTAAATGGTGAGCAACCCAAAAATGATGAAAGATATACAAGAGTTCAAGCCCGCGCTCTATCCAAAAGCTTTTAACTTGATAGTACTTCTTTGATAGGCAGAGAATTTTTGCGCAGCATAATCCAGTCGGATGCATCAAGTAATAATAGAGTTGAAAAAATCATGCTTGAGAATCTAAAAGTTCAGTAACACAGTCCACAAGGATCACTGACCAGTCACATCTTATCTTGTTTAAACATATTTCCATGCATCTATTTCTAACTGTATGGCATTAAAGAAGTCAAGCACCACTACTGCTGTCAACAGAAAAGGAAACAAAAGTAAACGAGGGTAAGAAATTTGGCAGCTTCACATTTTGCAATCTCTCCGTATTTTCCAGTTCATAATGGAAAAACTGCGTTGGTATTAGCAGCATGCAAGGAGTGCAGACAACATAGAACAAAAGGAAGGTTTCAAAAAAGAAAATAGCAAAATTTCTTTACGTACCTTTTGCAGAGCCCTCTGCACCCCGTATTTTTGTGTTGAAATGAATGAATTTAGTAGAACACGTATTGCCATGTCCACATCTTCTTCAGTAACATGCTGTCTGAGGTGCATTCTGGCATGTGCTTCAGACATCCGTATCATTGATTCTATGTGCCTCACTGCTATAGGTACTCCTTGTCCATTCTGTTAATGGATTGTCAGTGCAGGATTACCACTAAAAGATCATTGAGAGAAACGAGTGCAAAGAGTCTCACCGAAGATTCTCTCCTCAGCTCAGCATAAACTTGTGTGAGTTTTTCCATGTCAGAATCATGCAACCGAGGGAATATGTTTAATTTGGCATAGGTGATGTATTTCTTCAGCAAATCTTGAGGAAGAACCTGAAACAAGATGGAGAATCTCTATATGATTAAGAATCAAGGAAACAGATAACTAAAACAACAGCAAAAAGAAGAGGTCAGTAAGAGCTTGAGCAGGAAACCTCGGGATCAAGTGGCCCGGCAGAGGCTTGAACATCTTCCTGAGACTCACTATAGGACCTATCATCTATATTAGCACCCTTGGCCTGTGATTTGAAATGACTATCAACTACAAACTTTGCAAGCATCTCATCTGCTAAGGGATCAACCACATCCTGCAATTAATCAAATTTCATTCATAGTAAGATTGAATAGACATGTGAAAAAGAGCAATCAGATTTTCTAGATGAATTACCTTAACAACACAAAGGATGTCAAAACGAGAAACGATGGGATCTGTCAACTCAACATTCTGTGAAAATGTTTTCGACGAGTCGTATCTGACAGGTTAAATTGAAATAAGAAGTTGTCATTTGAAAAACTAATTGCAAATTCATACGTTTGCACAGTTGGTCCATTTGATAAGGAGTATTCCATGAAAAAACAAAAAGCAAACTCGGCATACTTTGCCTTGGTCAATTTTCGGTTTTAGAAATTAAACAAATTTATCTACTTGAATACCTTCCTCCAACAGGATTTGCAGCAGCAATAACAGAGCACCGAGCCTGTAGAGAAGTAACAATGCCAGCCTTTGATATGCTGATACTCTGCTGCTCCATTGCTTCATGGATGCTCACCCTGATCATGGGTAGATATTTTACTGCTCATAACAGCAACAGTGATAAAAAATCAGATTGCCGAAGAAATGGACAAAATTTTTCATACCGGTCCTGGTCATTCATTTTGTCAAATTCATCAATCAGGCAGATCCCTTTATCAGCTAGAACAAGGGCTCCTCCTTCAAGGGTCCACTCTCTTGTCACTGGGTCCTTGTGCACCGCAGCCGTTAGACCAACAGCAGAAGCCCCTTTACCAGTAGTATACACAGCCCTTTGCCCAGTCTTTTCAACATACCTTAAAAAAAAAAAAAGCATCCTTGGTTAATGCACCATCGCCATTACATCATCTCAATTAAGAGACCCTTTAAAATGACTAGGCGTAGGTCTTACTTCAGAAATTGAGATTTTGCTGTCCCAGGATCACCTAGGAGAAGTACATTGATGTCTCCTCGCAGCCGGTGTTTCCCTTCAACATTTTTCTCTTGGCCTCCAAACATAGCAAGAGTTAATGCAGTTTTTATGTCCTCGTGTCCATAGATGGATAGGGCAACAGACTTGATAATCTAAGAATTCAGTTCATGAATCAATATTTTTTTGTGATATGACAGAAAACATGGTTTACACAAAAGAAATTAATGGAAACATACTCTTTCTCCAATCCTTGGGTCTTTCGACAACTTTTCAATTTCTTCTTTGTCCTCTTGCGTGAGCTTGTACGCAGAAAAGAGATCCTGCTTCTTTGTGACATAGTTTGCTTCGATCACAGTGGCAAAGACAGGAAATCCGTTCTTTGTGTTCAAAGATAAGTCAAAATTATTTGTATATATGCCAGTGACCTCCTGAAATACGTCACATGGGAAAAAAAAGGAAAAAAAAGCAGTCAACGGGGAAGCAACTACCAGGAAACAAATAAGCAAAAACAAGCAAGCCCAAGAAAGGGATCCCACAATTTCTTCCCCAGGGCGGGCACAGTCAATCAAATCATTCAACAGTATCACTTCCTTGTATCTTGGAAGCCGACCTGCAGGCACAATTCCAGGGCTTTCTTGGAGTGTAAGCTTCTGGTAATTCCTGTAAATTGTCTGCAGCAAGGCGTCAAAAACCATGTCAATGAATTTCAAGCTCATGAATCTACTCCATAAAACTGCAAAAATAATCTTGTGGAAAAGGAATTAAATTTCTTAAGATCATATTAATTCCATTTATCAGGACCAGGAAAATGAAGACACTCAACTGAGTGTAATACAACAAAGAAAACCTGACATAAGATTATGAGTAATTTCTTCATCTTTTCAGACATTTCAGCAAGAGAAGGGAGACAAACGGACAGATATAAGATGTTTACCTGCTCAATGTTAACAGTGAATGGTCCTTTTGATTGGCATTCAGGGCAAGAACCAACCTTGACTTCTGAATACGAATTCTGAAAGAATGGCCCCAAAATTGCTCCACACTTGTTGCAATCATATTTTACCTGTTGCAACTGAGGGAAGACACCAGATCGCCTAGTCACAACTCCTCCAACACGGATCATGGTGTTCAAATGAATCTGCCTGAAAAATCCAATGGAAAAAGTTGAAACTTCATGGCAAAGGGGGAAGAAATCAGAAAAAAGCCATCAAATTTAAATAATTAACATTACCTAATGTTTCTGATCTGATCATAGACTGGTAAGTTGGTGATGCGGACATAGATCTTCTGATGGATATTTTTGTAGTTAGGATGTAAATCAAAGACAACTTTCATGGCCACTTCCTCCATGACCTCTAGGACAGATTGCGGGGCATCAGCAAGCCAGATGGCAATATTGGGATGGACATAGATAAATTGTTTGTAATCAATCTCCAAGCTACACTTATTAGCTGCAGATGCAACATCAAATAAATTCAATGACTAAACCACAGCTAGGGCTTGGTCAGTGCATAAATTGTATAGCTTACGCAATCACGAACTAAGATCACATTTAACAGATGTTTCACCTGACACCATTTCATTTATCAGTCGAACATATTCAAAATCTCCATCTTCATTCTTTGGATTCACATATGTAAGCAAGAATTCCTTAAACTTCTTGGCAATGAAACGACGAACTTCATCTCTGGTAACCCATTCTCTCAGAGTTCCTTGGACACGATACATCTCAAACTCACCTTCATCACCATCTTCATCCTAAATGTCAATCACTTTGATAATGAGAAAAAATTAAACAGCATAAAATTCTCAAAATGAAGCGAAAAAACTAAAGAATACTGTTCATCACCTCATCTTGATAATCTTCTGTTTGATCAGTCATAGGCACATCCTCCCTCGAATGTCCCCTCTGTGATCTACCTGGTGAGCTCTGCAAACCATCATCAGTATCAACATCATCATGGCTTCTTGGAGGCCTGAAATCAGCTCTAGACCTTTTTGAAGGCCTGTAGCTATCATCATCAGTATCTGCAACCAAATTGCCAATCATGAGCAGCTTTCTTTACATCATACATCCAACAAATTTACTGAACAAGCAGTAAAATTGAATTTCACCACGAAATAGATTTTCAACCGCCATAGAAATGTTATGTCAAAAGTGAAAGGCTAAAATTTCATGTTGTACTTATTGTATAAAGAAAATATGCATCACAAAATCATACTGGTGCATATCTGTTATTTGAAGATATAAACTTTATACGCAAAATCTCTGAACTTCTAATTATAAAAAGGGCACAAAAAAAGACTCAACAATGTCAAAAACTGAGGCGCAGCACAATGATTTCTAATGAAATAAAGGTATAACTACGACACATGCAGCTTAAAAAGCATAGATCGCTTTGAATTTGAATCTAGGAACCTCTCAATTAATTACAACAATACAAATAACCTAAATTTAGCGACAGCACAAAAAGAAAAAAGAAAAATTTTTTTTAAAAAAAATTCTTTTTGTTTTTTTTTTTTTTTTTGTTTTTTTGCACAGCAGCTAAAAATTAGTGAAGAAAGAAAATACCATTGTCATGTAGAAGCTGAGGGAGCTTCCGATTCGTAAAGCGAACATCACGAGCCTCAAGCTCCAGCTCGGCCTCCCTTCTATCCTGAATCACCTGGTCAGGATCCCTATCATCCTCAAATGATTCATCCAGCCCCACGGACTCGTACTGATCATGTTCGTCCATTCTCCGATAATCACTACATTTCATTTCATTTTTTCCACATATAGATAAACATTCAAAGACACGAATATTTATGTAAGCGAATAACAATAAGAGAAATAATTAGTACTGACTCCATAAAATTGTCATTGAATAGATCCTCTCCTTCCTCTTCTTCCTCGGGTTCTTCAGCTTCTTCGGGGAGGATTTGGGGATCGACGGCGGCTTCATCGTCGTCGTCGGTGAAGTTCTGGCTGCTGTTGTGAGGAAGCTGATCAGTGTTGAATCCCGCAGATGTGGTTGGAGAATCCGGTGAGGATGGTGGATTTCCTGAATTGCCAGACGCCATTATCTCTTTTTGGTATTTTCTGGAAATGCAAGATTTGGGTTTTTTTTTTTTTAACCTGGGGCATCCAATTGTATTTATCGGAGGATGTCGAGGGCGTTGTTTTGGCGGGAAGTTTTGGCGCCAATTTGGCTTACGTTGCTACACTCTGAATCTGGACTGTTTACTAGCTATGGAGCCCAAGTTCTTCATTAACGTTGGGTTAGTCTCGAGTATGTTTTGGCGATTTGGCCCATTTCAGAAATTAGGACTAGAAAGCCCAAACATTGAATTAGAATTTGGGAAGGCCTCAAGGAAATGGAATACCATATACCTATGGCGAGAAATTCCATGATATTTCAGTAGTTACTAATAATACTTACCAAATAAAAAAGATAAATAAATAAATAAGAGAAATAAAAGAGAGAAAAAAAATTGAGTTTATCTAAAAGTATTTTTATTACTTTCTATAGATTCAGATATGATTTTCTTTCTCTCCTCTTCTTTGTATCGGTCTTTTTTTTTTTTTAAGTATTTGTTACTACTTAATTATTTTAAAATGTGTTTGAGGATGGCAATTTGACAAAATAACCAAAAGAACTAATAAAAAAACTATTGAAAATTTTTCATACATGGCTTGCTGTGGCTACTTTGAGACAATGTGATTGTAGTTTTTTCAAATTTACGAAATGATAAGATAATATTTGAGATGCAATAGGTATAGATATTTATTGGTTTATAATCACTCACAGATGGTTTTTTTAACAACTTAAACAGTATTTTAATTTTCTAAAGTGACATGATAAATAATACTTGATTGTTTGTGATTATCATAATAAAGGAGAAATTAATTAAATTACAAAAAGGTTTGATAGTTACTGAGTAATAATATTACAATTACAATTATAATAAAACTAAACTAAAACCATTAGTTACTATTCATTGCACTATTTAAAATACTATTCATCTAGACTCAAATATACTATTTCATTTATTATGTAATGATATTTTTGTAGTTTTCAAATATTTTTAAGACATTTATTATGAAATTTTTCATAACATTACACTTTGATCCCTCTTTTTTTAATCTTATTTTTTAGCCCGCAAATATTTTTTATTTGATTTTGGTTCTATTTTTTGTTTCACCTTAGTCACTTTAGTCTTTGCTTTTTAAAAAAAAAAATTAAAATTTTTAAGGCAAAAAAATATTTAGAAAAAAATAAATTTCAAAATAAGGTTTTAGCTAAAAATATGGATAGAGATAAATAAATAATATTTTTGAATAAAAAATTTATGAAAATATAAAAAAATAACTAGTCAAACACAGAATTCTGATTAAAAAAATGATCAAATTGAATGAATTTTTATTCAGTTTTGATTTGATATATTTTGGTAGACACGTAGTATATTATGGAACATTAAAATGAAATAAATTTTTAAAAATAATTTTATATATTTTGATTAATATAAATCGAATCTATGTATTGAGTGAAATCGTTTGATTTATATATATTTATTATCAAAATATTTAATAATATTAGCATTAAAATTTGAATTTGAATAATTGGGAGGTTCTTTCAAAACATTATCTAACTTATTTTATATAAAAAAATAAATTTTAGAATATGAAAAAATAAATAACAAATAATTGGTATTATGTGTGCAGATATATAGTTAATTTCTAACAAAACTATATACACACACACACACATAACAAATATAAGGTTTATAGAATAAACAGAAAAATATACAAAAAAAATCCAACTAAATTATACGAAATATATTGAAGTGAATAGATTAAAATAAAAACTACTACAAAATTGATTCTAATAAATTCTAAATAAATATACATTAAAAAGAAAAAAAAATTTATATATAATCAGAATTTTAAATTATAATAATATATTTAAAAAAATAAAAAAATCATTTAAAAAGCATAAAAATAATTTATTGTATAAATTATAATAATATATTTTTAAAAAATAAAACACCAATGTTCTAAAATTTTATTCTAAAATTCATACATTAAAAAACCAAATCTATCAACAAAAAAAAATTATATCAAAAAATTAATTTGATGAGAATTTTAATGAGAAACAAATAATTGAAGAAATGAATTTTAAATAATAAGAGTAATATAATCTTATATGTATGTTTAAATTAAAATCTTAAAAAATATCATACATATCATAATTAATCGTTATTTTTTTAGTTTAAACATATAAGCAAATGAAGAATTAATCGTTATCAAAATTAATCGGATATTCTTTATGGAAAGAAAAGATTCGATTTTCTCGTTTTGAAATTAATTCTGATTTTTGGATGCGTGCCATCTTTAAACTATACGTAAAATTAAAAAAAAATAACAATTTATTTTCTATATTTTTTCACATCTAATTTCATGATATATACACTTTTTCTCTTTTTAAGTATTATTATTATTTCTTTTTGGACAATTTGTTTTCTTTGGATTTAATGTACCGAGATCACAAAATCTCTTACAACCCACTTATCTATTACCACTACCCAACTTGAGCAACCACTTTAGCACTTTCTCGTCTATCACTTGACTCGTATTTTTAATTCATTAGGTAATTTTATTTATTTATTTCTATAGTTAAAGCACATAGTTTTTCTTATACTATAACCTTTTCATCTTATACTATTATTTTTATTTATTGTATTTTTCATTTTAAGATGCTTGACATACTTAGCCTTTTTTTCTTCATATATATATATATATATATATATATATATATATATATATATATATATATATATATATATATCTTGAAAGGAATGGGAAGGGGGCGCAATCGAAGTGTGTGGAATTTCAAAAATTACAAAAACAAGATAATCGGTGTGATCTCATCACATCACAAGTAGATGTCTCGTAGCCCATAACTCAAGAATCAGCTAAGGATATTTAGAACACACATGCAAGGTATAAAAACATCAAATTAAATTCATACCTCTTGAAGTGCAGCACAAAGATTGTTCTCGACCTATAGCTCCCTAATTGTGAAGCCTCTAGTCCGTCCATACGAGCTTTACACGATTGAGCCTTCGGTCTATGACTTGGTTTGCTAGTATGATCTTGTCTCTCGAATGTCCAGAATTAATCTTTAGCTCACCAAGTAATCTAGCTTGAAGTAGTCTAAGAGTTAATCTTTATTTTTGCTTAAGTCAAGTATCTAACACTTTTTAGTGTTTAAGATGAGTGACCATACAAGACTATCTCCATTCTCTCATCTTTTTTTCTTCTTGTCATTCTCTACGCTCTCCACTAACTTATGTTGGGTGGAGAGACTTGCATGCATGAGAGATAACAAATGTCTTTCATAAAGACATTTGAAAGACAATTGTCAATCATGCATGCATCCTTCATGACATATGTCATTCATGCATGAAACAATCAAGACATTTTTTGATTACACATGTAAATAATGCATGCATAAATTCTCTACACTTTCCACTAACATATCTTGAGCGGAGGAGTTTGCATATATGCATTAATCAAAACACATAATCTTTCACTAAGATTATATTAATCTTCTACTAAGATTATTTTGATTAATTCATTAGTTGACTTAAGCTCAATGACTTGTCATTTATATCTCATATAAATTAATTCATATTTTAATTTACCCTTAGTTAGATTAAACTTCAGGACATGCTAGAGACCTTGTAAATTTAATTACAAGTTTAATCCTATTGTTTTTAATTAACTAATTAAACACTTTAATTAATAATTAAAACAATAATTGCTCATTCGATAAAATCTCTATTGCGTGTGACTTTCTAGGTTTATGTCCAATTAGCAATGGGAATATGATATCAACTCTTTGATATTATGATATCATGAGAAAACTCTTTTCTTAATTCAAGGATCTTTCAATATGTCCTTAGTCCTATAAGTCATGAGTAATGCCTAGCATTGCATATCATGACTACCTAATTAGAAATGAATGTATTAAACTCGATTAATTACATTCCACGAAACCAATGATCATAATTACCGTGCACTTGAATCCCTTCATTATAAGATCCCGATTTTAGCTAGGGTCATGTTAATGTCAAATCCTAATTGCTTAAATGCGATGTCCTCATCTCGATTTTATTTCTTGATATTATAAGACTCCTACTAGAAACTCTTTTCTAGTGAATCCTTCCGTCCCGGCCATGAACTTTATTTATCAAGAATAACCAGATAACATAAGATCTTATCCTTTTCTACTCAAGGTAACGAATTCTTCTTGGCTAAACACTTACCTCCTACACTTAACTAACTAAGGCCATCACAAACCATATACCCATACATGACTAGTATAGATATGTAAGCAAGTAACAAACCCTAATCATTTATGTATGACATAATAGTGTCACCTTAGATCAAGGGATTATATGAATTATTATAATCTAGATGATGAATTATTGATAAGTAGTTAGAACTTCATGTTATCATAATCTCATGTAACTGTTCAACCTAACCATGATGAGTGTCCATATATTTGTTCCGATATCACATATCTTATAACATGAGACTCACTATCATAAACAAATAGAGGTGATAGTCTTCGGATAATTGATGCCCAATCGGATATCCTATGACTATAAACTCTTTAATGTATTTTGTTTCGAAATATATGTCATTTATATTCTAAACATCTTTTAGAATAGATATTCTAACAATATACTTAAGGAATATATTCGAAATAAAAACAACTTTCATATAATGAATATATCTTTTATTGCCATATAGGGATTATTATTTACATATCACATAATATATATGGCTCTTGGGCATACATATCTAACAATCTCCCACTTGCATTAGAGCCATTTTCTAGAGTATGTAAGACCCATCTTATCAAGATGATAGTCTAACCGTTGTTGTGTCATGGCCTTTGTCGGTGGATTAGCCGAGGTTTTCAGCTGATGTTATTTTCCGTAAGGCTAAATCGCCTCTTCCAATAATCTCTCCGATAATATGATAACGCCTTTCTATGTGTTTGGATTTCCGGTGAGACCTTGGTTCCTTTGCTTGAGCTATAGCACCGGTGTTGTCACAGTAGAGAGAAACCGGTAACTTAATGGTAGGAACCACCCCAAGTTATGTCACAAACTTCTTAATCCAAACAGCTTCTTTTGCAAGCATCCGATGTAGCAATGTACTCGACCTCGATAGTAGAGTCTATAGTAGTACTCTGTTTGGAACTCTTCCAACATATTGCACCTCCATTACAAACAAACACAAACCCGGAGATAGATTTTCTATCATCAATATCCGATCGAAAATCAAAATTTATAAAACCATCCAATCTTAAGTCACCTCTTCCATATGTCAAAATAAGATCCTTAGTTCTTCTCAAGTACTTTAGGATGGCTTTGATTGCATTCCAGTTGTTCCAAACCCGGATTGGATTGAAATCGCTAGTCATACTAACAACATATGTGATATCCGGCCTAGTACACAACATGGCATACATAAGACTTCTAATAGCCGAAGCATAAGGAATCTTTGCCATTTTATCTCTATATTTGGGTGTTTCGGAGACATCCTTTTAGATAGATGAATACCATACCTTATAGGCAACAATCCTTTCTTGGAATCAAGCATGTTGAACTTTTTCAACACCTTTTTCAAGTATAGACTTTGAGAGAGTCCTATTATTCTCTTCGATTTATCTCCATAGATACGAATACCAAGAATATAGGTTGCATCTCCTAAATCTTTCATAGAGAAACTACCGGACAACCGGACTTTTACAATGGTTAGCATACCAATGTCATTTCCTATCAATAAAATATCATCCACATACAAGACAAGGAAAGTGAGTGCACTCCCACTAACCTTCTTGTAAATACGAGGCTCATCTTCATTTTTGATAAATCCAAAAGATTTAATGGCTTCATCAAAATGAAGATTCTAACTCCTCGAAGCTTGCTTAAGACCATAAATGGATCTCTTAAGTTTGAACACCTTGGTACCATCTCTGGATTCAAAACCCTTAGGTTGTACCATGAAATATTTTCCTCAATGGAACCATTAAGGAAGGCGAGCTTTGACATCCATTTGGCAAATTTTATAATCATAGTGTGCAGCTAAAGCTAATAATATCCGAATGGATTTAAGCATGGCTACTGGCGAGAAGGTTTCCTCATAGTCAACCCCTTTTCTTTAGCTAAACCTTTTAGCTACTAGCCTTGCTTTAAAAGTCTCTACCTTTCCATTTGCACCAATCTTTCTCTTAAAAATCCATTTGTTCCCTATAGGTAAAATACTTTTAGGTGGATCAACAAGTTCCCGCACTTGGTTACCATACATGGAATCCATTTCGGATTTCAAAGCTTCTAGCCATTTTAAAGAATCTATATCCGATATAGCTTCCTCATATATACTAGGATCATCTCCATGATCAGTCTCTCCAATAACAAACAACTCTTGTTTGTGATGAAGAAAACCATATCTCTCTGAGTGGGTAAGATATTCTACTAGAACTTCGAGGTGTTATTGTGGTGACTTCATCAATAGTATCGGGTTTATCACGGTGGTCGATCAATTTGCATTTGATCATCTTGTTGGATCACTTTGGATGACCCTTCATCCAATTCTATCTTCCTTCCTTTTCCACCTTCTTGAATAAACTATTTTTCAAGAAAAATGACGTCCCTACTAATAATAATTATTTGTTCTACATGAAGATAGAGATAATACCTTGAATAACTTTTAGTGGTATCCAACAAACTACCCTTTACAGATTTAGCTTCTAACTTATTAGTTTTCAACCTTTTAACAAAAGTTGGATAACCTCAAATCTTAACATGTTTAAGGCTTGGTGTCTTGTTACTCCATATCTCATGTGGGGTAGTTGGAACAGATTTGGAAAGAACTCGTTAAAGATATAACAGGTATTCGAAGTGCAAATACCTATAAGAAAATAGGCAAATCGATGTAGTTCATCATAGATCTCACCATATCTAATAAGTTACGATTTCTCCTTTCCAATACAACATTCAATTGTGGTGTTCCAAAAGGGGTGAGTTGTGAAATTATGCCATGTTCTTTAAAAAATTCAAGGAACTCGAAACTTAAGTATTCACCTCCTCGATCGAATCGAAGAGCTTTAATACTTTTCCTTTTTGTTTTTCCACTTCACATTTAAATTCTTTGAGCTTTTTAAAGGATTCATTCTTATGTCTCATTACATATACATATCCATACCTTGATAGATCATCATTAAATGTAATGAAATAGGAAAAACCACCTCTAGCCATACGAGTAAATGGACCACATACATCACCATCTATAATTTCTAAAACTTTTTTAGCTCTTACCCCTTGTCCAACAAAAGGTGATCTAGTATTTTACCTTGTAGATAAGATTCATATATTGGAATTGGTATATTACCAAAAAGATTCAAAATCTCCATTTTCTCTAACTTAGTGATTTTGTCTTCTACAATATGACCTAGTCTCAAGTGCTAAAGATGTTTTTTTATTATAATCGTTCATTATCATAGCAATTACTTCATATCCACTTATAGTTGTTTTGTTATTGTTATTATCCAAATAAGAAAGACCATCAAACATATAACCTTTGCCAATAATATTATCATCATAATATATTAAACAAACATCTCTTTTAAAGAGGAATTCATAACCCCTCCTAGTCATACTAGAAACAGAGATAATATTTTTAAAAGCATTAGGTAAATACAAAATATCTTTTAATAGCAAAACATGATCATTAAGATCAATAGAGGGTGATCCAATAGCCTTGGCAACAACACTTGCTCCATCTCCAAGCTTTAGGGTTACCTCATTCTTCTCCAAGCTCTCACTACTTGCTAGTTCCCGCATAGAGGCACGAATATGAGAACTTGCACCCGTATCAAGAATCCAAGCATTTGATGAACCACTTGAACTAATGGAACTTAAGTAACATGATAAAGACATACCTTCGAAGGCTTGTCTTTCGCATTGCCCTTTAAAGACTCCAAGTACTTTAGGCAATTACGTTTCCAATGTCCAACTTGTTGACAATGAAAACAATTTTCTTTGCCCTCATCCACCTTTTTGGCCTTGTCCTTAAATACCTTACCTTTGGGCTTGAGGTTGGAAGTCTTCCTTTATTTTTCTTCTTCTTAGTTTTGCTAAAAGAAGAGGCAACAACAACAACCTTTTTTCCTTTTATCATAGATTTTTAAGTTGTTATTAACATGTTTAATAACTCAGCAAGCGTGTATTTTAATTTATTCATATGAAAATTCATAAATGAATTGAGAGAAAGATTCAAGAAGGGATTGAAGGATCAAATCCGTAAGGTTATAGTCCATAATTAAGTCTAGACCCTCTAGTTGCTCAATAGCACTTATCATCTTATGGACATGAACTCCAACATCGGTACCCTCATGCATCTTTAAACGAAATAACTGTTTTGATATCTCATATCTAGCAGCTTCTTTTGTGCTCACCATACAACTCTTATAAGTGAAGAAGAATAGAATGGGAATCATTCATCTTTTCATGTTGCCTCCGTAACTTATTGGTCATATAAGCAAGCACGTAGCACTTTGCTTGCAAATCATCAAGCTTCCACTTCTCAAGTGTAGCCCGTTCCTCATCGGAGGCCCTTTTAGGTAAAGGGTGGGGAATTGGTGTGTCGAGCACCTATTATATGCACTCTGAAGCAAGGACTATTCTAAGGTTTCTTAACCAATCCAAAAAGTTAGGCCCCGTGAGCTCGTTAGCATCAAGTATGCTTGCAAGTGAGTTGGTGCGTTTCATTTCGGAGATAATCTACAAAAATTAACAAGATTAATTAGTTTACGTAATAAGTAATTACCATAATGATCCGGTCTTTAATCAAATATGGTCCTCTCACTAATTTGATGAATTCTACACTTCCAAGTAGAAAATGGAAGCTCTGTTGGAGAACTTCTAGTGAGTGATTAATATTCTCATAAAATATTAAAATCCCTCGGATTCATAATGCCATTCTTAGAACATTAATATCTTATGAGTGAACAACTCTTGTTCATCACATCTCATATGAGGTTTAATCAATCTGGCTCCTAATGCTATGGACCTAAGATTCACAAAGCTATTCTTGGTCCTTTACACTAGTTAAGTCCATTAACCATTGAACCAAGTAAATAAATTGGATTTGAACATTAGAAACCTCGGGTTCATAATACCGTTCTTGGTAAATACTGTATCCATATGTCTACTACATGTCATGCTTAACAATAATGACTAGAAGATCTCTTAAACATTTTGTTTAAAACTTCTAAGATTATTGTTTCAATTGAGAGCCTAGACTTAATTCTTTGTTGGAAGATTTTTTCTGGACTTATTATTATTAGGTCTCACTTTGCACATTATCCATTTTATCATAAACATCTCATACACACATCACATATATGCATAGATAATGTAAAAGGTATGATTATGGACTATCTATGGACCCAATTCCTAGCCACAAGGAATAGGGTGAGGCTTAGGGTTAATTTTCCTAACATGCTCTTCAACTCTCGAACTTCATGCTCCCACTAGGCATTATGATAGGTTGAACCTCCTTTGATCTTGCTTGTCCATGTCTTCATAAGTACATAAACATCCTTGGCATACGAAGGCGAGATTACAAACCAAAGAGCTCAATAGGCTCAATAGAAAATATAACAACACCTTAAAATTAATTATTACATTCCCACTCAATAAAATCACAAATTGGTTTCCTAAGTCCATGATCATCCATCACGCCATTCATTCATTCAACATAAAATATAAATTTAAACAACTCATGAAAATATATTATAGTTTACGTTAACAATGGAACAATTTCATAAACTACTCAAATATCACATATTCAAGTAAACTTAGACTAATTATGATTATTCTAATTATGGCATAATTAAAATAAATATTCTGGAATATCACATATTCTAGAGAACATAAAAAAATATATGTTTGATTCATGCTTAAAACTTGAATAAAACTCTTAAAACAATCAAAATTGTTGAAAAGAGAAGTCATCCGTAATCAGTCTGCCTAGGTTGTGAGTTAGAACTAGCATAACTCTCCCTAAAAAATTCTTTTTTAAGCGATTCAAGTTGTGATAGAAAGATACAGAAGTCTAGTTTCATTTAAAAAAAATTTCACTCAATTCTAAATAGCCGTTTAAAAGTTATGATATTTTTACCACAAGTCGCCGTAATCCAATCTGACTTGAAAAACAACATGCACGTTTTTGATCCAATCAAACAACAATCAATCTAACCATTAGCCATAAAAATAATCACAATCTAGACAATACAAACATGGATTCTAAATATCATTTAGGTGGCTCGATACCACTTGAAAGGAATTGGAAGGGGGTGCAACGGAAGTGTGTGGAATTTCAAAAATTATAAAAACAAGATAATTGGTGTGATCTCATAACATCACAAGTAGATGTCTCATAGCCCATAACTCAAGAATCAGCTAAAGGATATCTAGAACACACATGCAAGGTATAAAAACATCAAATTAAATTCATACCTCTTGAAGTGCAAGCACAAAGATTGTTCTCGACCTATAGCTCCCCAATTGTGAAGCCTCTAGTTCGTCCACACGAGCTTTACACGATTAAGCCTTCGGTCTATGACTTGGTTTACTAGTATGATCTTGTCTCTCAAATATCTAGAATTCATTTTTAGCTCACCAAGTAATCTAGCTTGAAGTAGTCTAAGAGTTAAATCTTTATTTTTACTTTAGTCAAGTGTCTAACACTTTTTAGTGTTTAAGATGAGTGACCATATAAGACTATCTCCATTCTCTCATCTTTTTTTTCTTCTTGTCATTCTCTACACTCTCCACTAACTTATGTTGGGTGGAGAGACTTGCATGCATGAGAGATAACAAATTTCTTTCATAAAGACATTTGTCAATCATGCATGCAACCTCCATGACAAATGTTAATCATGCATGTTTTTAATTCTCTACACTCTCCACTAACTTATGTTGGGTGGAAAGACTTGCATGCATAAGAGATAACAAATATCTTTCATAAGGACATTTGTCAATCATGCATGCATCCTTCATGACATATGTCGTTCATGCATGAAACAATCAAGACACTTTTTGATTACACATGTAAATAATGCATGCATAAATTCTCTACACTTTCCACTAACATATCTTGAGTAGAGGAGTTTGCATGCATGCATTAATCAAAACACATAATCTTCCACTAAGATTATGTTAATCTTCTACTAAGATTATTTTGATTAATTCATTAATTGACTTAAGCTCAATGACTTGTCATTTATATCTCATATATATTAAGTCATATTTTAATTTACCCTTAGTTGGATTAAACTTCGGACATGCTAGAGACCTTGTAAATTTAATTACAAGTTTAATCCTATTGTTTTTAATTAACTAATTAAACACTTTAATTAATAATTAAAACAATAATTGCTTATTCGATAAAATCTCTATCGTGTGTGACTTTCTAGGTTCATGTCCAATTAGCAATGGGAATATGATATCAACTCTTTCATATTACGAGAAACCTCTTTTCTTAATTCAAGGATCTTTCAATATGTCCTTAGTCCTATAAGTCATGAGTGACGCCTAGCATTGCATATAATGACTACCTAATTAGAAATGAATGTATTAAACTAATTAATTACATTTCACGAAACCAATGATCATAATTATCGTGCACTTGAATCCCTTCATTATAAGATCCCAATTTTAGCTAGGGTCATGTTAATGTCAAACCCTAATTGCTTAAATGTTATGTCCTCATCTCGATTTTATTTCTTGATAATATAAGACTCATAATAGAAATTCTTTTCTAGTGAATCTTTCTATCCCGGTCGGGAACTTTATTTATCAAGAATAACCGGATAGCATAGGATCTTATCCTTGTTTACTCATGGTAACGAATTCCTCTTGGTTAAACACTTACCTCATACACTTAACTAACTAAAGCCATCACACGCCATATACCCATACATGACTAGTATAGATATGTAAGCAAGTAATAAACCCTATGTGTGAGATAACGGTGTCACCTTAGGTTAAGGGATTATATGCACTATTATAATTTAGATGATGAATTATTGACAAGTAGTTAGAACTTCATGTTATCATAATCTCATGTCATTGTTCAACCTACCTATGATGAGTGTCCACCTATTTGTTCCGATATCACATATCTTATAGCATGAGACTCACTATCATAAACAAATAAAGGTGGTAGTCTTTCGGATAATTGATGCCCAATCGGGTATCCTATGACCATGAACTCTTTAATGTATTTTGTTCCAAAAATATCTATCATTCATATTCTAAACATCTTTTAGAATAGATATTCTAACAATATACTTAAGGACTTTATTCAAAATAAAAACAACTTTCATATAATGAATATATCTTTTATTGCCATATAGGAATTATTATTTAAATATCACATAATATTTATGGCTATTGGGCATATATATCTAACATATATATGAAGGAAAAAAGAAGAAGGCCAGACTTTGTTCGGCTAGGACAAGCCTTCGCACAAGGTTGGCTACTGTTCAACCCAGGGAAAAAAAGCAAACCAAAAGAGTTAAGGTACATTAAATGAACAGTAACACTGTTCAAATACTTTAATTCTTTTATTTTTTTTATTTTTATTTTTATAATAGTTGTTTTACAAGTTAAACGCTTACACATAACGAAGAACAATTTCGTCATTAAAAATTCTAAATGTATGGACCGACCATTTTAAAGTAGTCGGTTGCCAAAAATGATCACCAAAGACCTATTTTTATTATAGTATTACCAATCTTCATTATTGTTATTTTAACAATAGTCATGTTTTCTTACAAATAAAGAATTTTGATTGGATTTTTTAACTCAAATCATTTTCAATTAACAAGTCAATATTAGCAAATAAGAATTCAAAATAAAGATTCAGATATTGCTTTCCACTTTAGGGGAGTTGGGGTTATGTTTCATATTGGCTCTGGCGTATCACAAAATGGTTTTGTGGAAACGATGCAAATCACGAGGATTTATGGCTATGATAATCGATCCGGCTTTCATCGAGGAAGAAGTAATTACGAATAGGAGTAAAACGCATCACAACTCCTGTCAAGCAACGTGGAACAGGTTTTTAGCTGAAAAATTCATTTCAATCTATGTATTAACTTCCTTTATAAGAAGAAAATGAATTTCTTATTTTCTAATATGTTTGTCGTGGAAGGTATCAGGTATGCTTTTCTAGCATGGTGTCCAGAAATACCTGCCTTATTGTCTATCTGGATGCATCAGAAATACCTACCTTAATTAGTGTTCCATGCCTTCTAATACACTGTGATTTACTTTGATAGACCCACAAACTGGATGCCGAAGGAAAAAGAAACAGAAAAACAGAAAGAAAATAGGTGAAAATGAAGAAAAGATGAGACCTGTACGTGATCAAAGTAAATGGCACGCGTCCAAAAATCAGAATCTTTTCTTTCCAGAAAGAATATCAGAAAGTTAAATCATCAGATCTGATTTATGGAAGTCTAATACATTTTTATTGAAACAACAGAAGTTCACACTGCCATCGACACAGGCTCTCCTTTTTCCCCTCAATTTACAATCTAAGGGTTCATAATACCCAAGCCTCTAATGTATAAATCACATTATTGTTCTTGGGAAAAATTGAGCATATTATGGGATTCTCCCAACAAAAGTACTTGAGAATCCCAGCCCATTATCACAGTTTCTTGTTTTTTTTTTCCTACTTGACATTTTATTGAATTCCTGCTCACACGTATCCTTAGTTTGTGGACTGAAATCGCAACTAATGAAGGAGCATTCTGAAAAAGAAAAGAGAAACTAGCACTTAAATATCAGTAGTACTTAATTATGATATGATCATTTGCCATTAAACACTTCTCTCAAGCATCTCTCGATACCTCTTGAACGACTCCAGCTTCTGCAAACGCATCTGCTTGTGAAACCTCATGATGAACAAGTCTGCAACATGATCAATCTCATCTTCCAAGCTGAAATCTTCTCCATGGTCCTTGGAATTCTTCACCAAATCAATGATAGAACCACCTGGATCATCAAAGTTCTCTTCTTCAAATAGCGAATGCGTAAGATCCGGGTACTTATCATCATCATCATAGTAATAATAATTGTTAGTTTGACCGTCATCCCTGGCTGCCATCTGTGAGCAATTCGAAAGTGACTCATTCGCCATGGCATTGCAGTAGAGAACTATGGCCTTGTTCTGGTCCTCACTGTCGTCGTCTTCGCTTTTCTTGTCAGGCTGACCAAGAATACTATGAATCTTGTTTGAAATTGAACCCACCAGAACCTTCTTGCTCCTCATTAGAGAGAACATAATAGCTCGCGTTTTAAGCGCGCCTGCTTTGCTCTTAATAGCCAAAGACTTGGCCTTTGCAATAGAACTCAACAACGACATTATCTGTTTCAAGAAAACAGAAGCTTTGCTCTTCATTTTCTTGATTTTTTCAAAGTTATCTGAAAAGGTTTCGATGTGATAAGCTGAGAGGATGTAGAAAAACTCAGATGGTACTAATTTAGTGAAGATTTTTAAAAGCAGTCCTTAACATGAAGGAATGCAGAACCAGCTTGAAGTGGTTTATATAGAACACCAAAGGGAGTTGCTTTTGGTTTGCACTCTTGGGAGTGGGGTGAAGGTGGGTGATAAAATGCAGAGAAAAAGAAAGCTTCATGGGGGCAGCAATCTGCTTTAACTCAACCAAGTGGCATAAGGCTATTGGCTGGAGGCATGATAAATTCCTCTTGATATATTTGAGGTTATAGTACATAAACCAATTATTCGAATGCGGTAATTAATAAGTCCTACAGCTAGTGGAATTCCTATCGTGATCGGTGCCAAATGCCAAACGAGTGTGTTCATGCAATGCAACTTTTGAAGGAGCAATGGCCAAGAGGGGCTCGTCTTTAACCAGGAAAAGGAGTAAAAGAGCCTTTACGAGTACTCGTGAAAAAGTTCCTGACAAAGCAAAGTTGGGGCACAGTAGTTCTTGTATAATTATCTCCCATGACACTGATATTGATACTCGTTTGCAGAAAGTAACATTTCCATAAGGGACCGACCATTATGCAATTGTTGATTGATGAAGGAAATTAACTTTATTCGAAACTTCTGCGAAGTGCATGCCATAAACGTTCATATAGATATACACCGACATGTTGAAGGTTGTTTCTGTATCCTTCAATAGGACTCATTGAAAACTAGATGGGCAAGGGGCACCTTTATAACACAAACTGCCATTGTTTTTGCATCTGTTATAGGAGAAAAGCAATTTTTGCAACTGTACCGCACAACAAAAGTAGGGGACGAACTTGGAACAAAAAGAAAAACTAGGGACGTACGAGCGCCGGAACCCTGAATGAATTCTTAATTTAGAGGGGCTATGTACGTGACAGCCTAATAAGTTAGTCCAACGTCATTTGCCAATTGTCTTCGGTGGAGACAAGAAGATAGTAGGAAGACGGAAGTTTATACGGACCAAATCCTAATAGGATGTGGCTAAAATTAGCATGTGTCTGTTCAAGTTTCCGTATAAACATCTATTTTTAGCCAATTTTAACAGTCATTCATTTTAGATCGTATTTCGTCTGATTATGTTATCCTTTTGACAACAATGTGCCAAGTTAGCTATACTTGTCGTTTGGGTATATAATGGAATGATATATACATGGATTAGTAGCTACACAGTATCATTGTAACAATCCGTATTTATTATTATTATTATTATTATTAACATGATACAAATAAAGACACATGCAAATTAAACATGAGTGAAGAGTGAAGCTGGATGTCTCCAACTTCTGTTAACGAATGAATCATGAAGAGACTCGTATAATTAATGATCTAAAACTTGAAGAAAATTGCATCCCCTGCAATTGTGTGTGTTCTTTTTTCTTTTTTTATTAAATTATATTTGTGTTTTGTAGCATTGCTCTTCATAAAATACACAGTACACTTACCATAAATGAATATATATATATAAATATTTCAAAAAAACTAATATTCACATCCCACGTTGAAGATATGATTAATTTTATTCGAACTAAAAACGATAAAATTTATTTTTTTTTAGCAAATACGATTTCGAATTCAAACTTTATACATTACATGGTTGAAAATTCATCGAAAGATTAATCTGTTTACTATTGAACTTACAACTTATTTGTTACAATAGATGAATATCATTTGATGAATCTCTATACAAACTCGATTAGATTAGTTAAAAACCAAAACCCTGAAAATACTATTAAAAAAGAAACGCATCTATTGAAATCAAATTAATTAGGCTCTAAACTTAGTTAGGTTTTATTTATTTAATTATGTGAGAATTACTGTTAGGTTTTAGCTGCAACCGAATCAATGAACTATTTTTCAAATTTAATGAACAAACCAACTTTTTACCTGCACTACGGAATCAATTTTCCTTTTCTTTGTCATCCAAAAGTGATCATGAATGTTAGTACTTACTGGACTTAAAACTAGGCCACCGATAATTGCAATTGAGTTTCATACAAGTTTATAATTGATTTTAAAATGCATAATAAAATGGGATTTAAACAAATAGAAAGATGATTGATTGTTCAGTTTAACTAAATTAGTATATTTCAAAGCCACTATGATCCTGACAAACCCGGCCCCTCCCAAAATAAAAAATAAAAAAATACAGCTTATTCGGCTCCTTGAATTTTTAAATAAATTTGATTTGCTAGAATCGAACCAGTTTTTCAATTTAATTTACTAGCTAAATCGAACGGCACCAATAACTATCATTTGCAATATGATAGAATATTTGTCTAATTGGTAGAGGTTTATGTAACCAGCAGCTCGTGAGTTTCCGATTTCAGGCCAAAATCAATTGCTTGTTCGTCAATTATGTGTTTCCTAATTCCTATGCATCAATAAGCTAAGTGAATAATAAATAAATAAATAACACATTAGGAATAATGAATCAGGCAATTGATGCTCTCACAATATTTGAATTGGACTTTATTTTAATCGAGATAGCACATGCACTGGTGACAAGCTAACACAGCGAAATCTCCAAGGAAGGTTCTCAAATGCCTAAAGATAGAAGGAAGCATCAAACTTCCCAAGCAACATGACCCCCCAAAATCTTTTTCTGGTGGAGAAAATGTTATAATATTTAAAGAGTAATTAACATAAAATATTTCATAGAAAGATAAACATAAAGAAAAACAGAAAAATAAAAAATTTAAGCTAAAGTAGAAAATTTTTTATTATTTTTTATAAGTGTGTATGTAATTTTTTTTTATGTATCTATATTTTTAAAAAAAAGTAAACCCATAAAGTAATTACTATACATATATACTAATTACTTTTTAGATATTATAAAATTTCTCATATAAACTGTGCATCTGAACCGAAAGGAAACCTTCATTTTGGCCTTGGTTGTTTCGTACATTGAAGGATTTTGAAAAGAAAATAAAGTACTGAACTTTCAGGTTCTTTTAGCAAAGGAAAAGAACCCAAAACATCAAAGCTTTTCGGCATTCACTCGCAGGGAAAGCAACATGCATGGCTCTCTCTGATGCAAGTTGAGGTTTTGCTTTATCACTTTGTTTTTTTGTAAAGTTGATGCCACGGAAGGTAGTGAAGTGTCTAGCAAATGAATACAAAAACCAGGGAACGCATGCAGTGACTTCAACTACTTTAGATGCTTTATAATTTATATTGAAATTGTATTTTCTTTCTACAAACTAGTAGAGAAAGAAAATCTCGAAAAAAATATCTTCTCTTTTCTAAGGCGCAAGTGCTCTTTTTCCTTCTTGACGTCCTAGCGGTGGCCCCCTGCCCTCCTCCTTCACTCTTTAGGGGTGATGAGCTTGTCAATTTCCACCTTTATGTAGGTAGTTTTTAACTTGTTAGGTTTCTTTTTTATTTTAAATCTAAACTAATGTCTGACCCACACATTGTTGCGAGATCTGATTATAGTCATATATATTTATTTAAATTTTTATTATTTTTGTTGCATATGTTAAATATTATTTCATCATATTGTTTAATATAATTTATATTTTATGTTAATGTATAAATAATTTAGTGCAAATCTCTATTTTCAAGTTTAAAATTATTTTTATAACCAAGATACTAAAATTATTATGTCTTAATTGATGTTGCAAACAAATATTGTTCTTAATATTTGTTTAATATAAATGTCATTTCTTTGCTTTGTTATTTACTTATTTTTGTTAAGTATATGTAATCGTTTTATTTGTTTGATATTTAGTAACATCATTTCAATTTCTAAAGTGATTATTTAGTTTGGTTGAATTTCTATTATCTCTAGTTTATTTTTCAATTATTATTTTCAATACAAGAGAAATCATAAGGAGTGGTAAATTACATGTCATTTATCTAAAATTTATCTTTTTATTATTATATAGTATAGAGAAAACAAGTGAATTCTATTTTTTTTTCCTGCTCTTAGACCATACATAGCCAATGCTCGTGTACATACTTCACACGTAGAGGAATTTTTTTCTCTCTCTCATTTGATTTTTATACTTTAATTAATTTTTTTCTAAAATTTTGAGACAATTCATCTAAAATACACTTATAATTTTTAAACGAGACTCGCATATATATATATATATATATATATATATGCTAGTCTCATTTAAAAATCATAAGAATTCATCATATAACTATCTTACTTTTTTAAAAATAAAAATAAAGAAGACAATCATGTTTTACAATTTGACTCCAAAATTCATACATAGAGAAAGATAAATCATACTTATCAACAAATAAACATTAATAAAATTAAAAGTTAATTGAATGAGAATTTTCATTAAAAAAAATTAAAAGAATTAATTTTAAACAATAAGAGTATTATAATATAAAATATATTTTTATTTAAAAATATGAAATGCATCATATATATATATATATATATATATATATATATATATATATATATATATATATATATATATATATATATATATATATATATATATTTCTTACCAATTTGTGTAGAAAATTAAAAAAATGATTTTCCATGATTTTTATAAAAAATAATTAAAAAAAATTAGTGAAATGAAGTTTGAAATTGAAACAAAAATATGTCAAAAAAAAAAATGAACAAAGTATAATATTCACAAAAGATTAATTGATTTGATAGCATCTTATACAATCAGTCAAATGGAGATTGGTATTCTAACTTTATTTTTTTCAATTTGAATACTATAACTAATTTTTTGTTTGTAATCAAGTCAATCGATCTCGTTGATCAAAATTCCAACGCATGTGACAAGCAAATGATGGTAAAATGATAAAAAATCCATAGTTTTTTTTTTTCATCCACCATCTATTCAACTTCCGTACATATCCTAACTTCATTATCGATTTTTTTGACCAAACGGTCCTTAATTTTTAATCTACTATGCAAAATGATTTTCTTAATTCTTACATATTCACACACCATAGAACTTCCAATCTCGAAGAGTGAAATATTCAATTAAAACATGAATGGTATCTTGTGACATAATATTTCATGAGAACTATAATTTTTCAAGTCGCTTGTTTGAAATGTTGATTGGCCTAAATAATAAGAGTAATATAAACTAAAATATATGTTAATTTTAAAATATAAAAGATAACATCTCTCTCTCTCTATACACACACACACACACGACATGAAAATAAAAGAAAAATAAAAGTTAAGGATTGAAAAAAAAATTACAACATGAGGAACAAAAATAGGAAAAAGTGTTAAATTTGCATATCAAAGCCTAAAAACACACACAAAATCACGAAAAAACCACACACAAAAATTATTTAAATTGCGATGAAGTGAATAGTAATTTTAGGCATATGAGCGATAAGTAAATAGAAATTTTAGGCAAATGAATAGTAATTACTATTCAAAACACCATGCCTCTTAATTTCTTGTAATGTCTTCACATTCTTGGTTTCTAATTCTATTATACTTCCACTTCAATACCTCAAGATTTATGCAAGTAGCCACATCAATCTAGCATTTTGAATTCTTTATGTTATAATTTACAATCTGAAAATTACTCGTTAGAATCAAACCCAAAATCATTTTGTCATTCTCTCCCTCCAATAGTAATAGCTATTAACTCTAAAAGACCAAAAAAATCAATCAAACTCGAATTTTCAACCCATGAATCCGTATTCGCCATCTCCTCCACACCACCGGCTACCAACCTTCCAACCTTTGTTCCGTTTTCTCTCCTTCATTGCTAGCCACCACTACAGCCCTCTCTCACTACTATCAAGGCCCATCCAACCAAAAGCCACTGGACCCGATTCAACGAGCTCAACTTGTTTTTTTCTTATATCCTACCAAACTCTCACTCGTCGTCACACCTATGGCCACTAACCTCTACCATTGTCGTCTCTCCTACAAGCCCTAAACCTCCAACAATAGCCTTTCTCTATGAAAACAAACCCATAGTAGGAGAAGCCATTCTCGCATACAACAAACAATTAAATTAATAACCCACCGTAAATCAAGCAAAACATAGAAAAAAGACCATAATTTTTTTTTTAGATCCTCTAGGACATCTCGAGCTCAAAGATTTAAACTAATTTTTTGTTGTTCCGTTAGACGCATAAGACGAAACAACTAACCAAAAAGTTTTTTACATACATAGTGATTCGAATCCAAGATAACTTGTTTAAGTGACTATAACCTCTTTCACTCAAACTAACCATCTTGAGTAAAGATTATAAATTTTAATAAGAAATCAAACTAGAGAAAAGAAGGATAAAAAGGAAAGGTATTAGAAGATTTTATCAAAACTTAACTAGGAGATAGAATATTGTTAAGGTAAGTACTAGTATTAGTTATTGAGATTTTGGAGATGAGGGTAGAGTAATTTATAATTTCATTTTATTAATTTTTTCGACATTAACCACGAAATTCATATGTTTTTTATTTATTAACTATGTCAACATCGTGTGCGAAAAAATATGTCCGGATGTTGATCAACGAATTTATTCGACTTGAATATAAATCAAAAAATAATTATAATATTTGAATTGAAAAAATTAAAGTTGAAACGCAATTTTTTATTTGATCCATATTATCAAACCAATTAGTCTTTATAAAAAGTTACATATCAAATACTTGAAAATAACGACGAATTCCGTAACAACTTGCATATCGGATACAAAGCTTGAAAACTACAATAGTACGGTGAAAGTGCAAATGAATTTTGGTGAATAATAAAATGAGTTTGCATGATTAGTAAACAATTTTTGTTTCAGTTTTTTTTTTTTTTGCTAATAAGCTTCCCTTTTGGTGGTTTTTGGTCGCCCAACGTTATTGAGAGGGCGATTTGAGACGGTGGGTCTTTGAAAGCTTGAGGAGATCATGTTTATGTTGGGTTGGAGGTCGTTGTGGGTTTCGTAGAGGGGTTGGTTTGGATGGTGTTTTTGCATGGATGTTTGGACGAGTAAGATCTATTTTTCCTAGGGACTTGCCATAAATTAATGCAGATCTAAACTAGGAAGGTTCCTTTGCCCCTTGTTTGGATGTCTCCTCTTGGGAGGAAAGAAAATGAGAGGAAAGAAAAAGAGAGGAAGAAAAATTATTTTTCACTTGTTGTTTGGATAAGAGTAGAAATGAAAGGAAAGAAATTATATTTTCCTTGTTTAGATAATTGTAAAAAGAGAAAGGAAAGAAAATGTATTATTATATATTTACTATGATACCCCTATGATTATATTTATATATTTAAATACTTATAATAAATTTGTATGAATATTTTTTTCATGAAAATAGCACAAATGATAATAAAATAAAAATCTAGCATAGCAGCATCTATCGAAATGACAAGATGGATAATTAATCGTCTCCATAGAATAATCAATAACTCGTTTACTAATTAATTAATTCAATAGCCAACTTAGATTAATTATCAACATAAAATTAATTTAAATATTTATAACATGTATTATTATTTATGCAAATAATAAGATAGTTGCTTTTATCCATCATTTTTTTAGATTTTTTTATTCTATATTAATTTTGTAAAATTAATACAAAAAATAATTTAAGTATTAAATTGATACTAATCTAATAGTTTGTAAGTATATATGATGTTTGTACATTTTTATTTATTTCTTATGAACAACATGACGTTTATAGTTCTATCTTGTCATTTTGGTTCTTGAGTTCACTATGACAATTTTTTTACTTTGATTTATTTATTATTATTATATGTAAAAAGAGTCCTAATTTCGATGATATTTGATAAAACTCGAAAATTAAGTGCTGAATTTGTTAAGTACTAAATTTTAAGTCCTGAATAATTAAGTATTGAATATGTTACTAACAGATCGTTTGATATTGAATAAAAATTAAGTGCTCGAATATAATAAGACTCGTTTGATAAATACCGATGCTCGAACATATTAAGGCTATGTACTTAACTATTTTAACCTTACAATTATAACATAATATATATATATATATATATATATATATATATATATATATATATATATATATATTAAAAAATAGATCTATTTGTATGTATAAATAAATATTCAATAAAAATAATTATTAATAAAAAAATAAAAGATCATCTAAGATAGTATTAATTGTTCGAGGTGTAGATCAATTTTGGGTGTGGACAAATAAAAAATTCAAATCAATTTTGAAACCTAACGAAATTTTGTGTGGACGAATAAATACAAATTTCTCCAAAAACAAAACACATAAAAAACGTAAAACAAACAAAAACCAAACTCCCCTCCCCCTTGAAACCTCCCTCTCCTCTTCCCCTTTCGCTCTCTCCCTTCCTTCTCCGTCGGGATCGCCACCCAAAACCAGCAAAAATCCAAAATTCTCAAAACCCCTAAATTGAATCACCCGGAATCGAATCAACCATGTCAAAAGTCACAAACACGGATTCGGATGGCATAGTGTATGACGTGGAAAAACCGGCCCAAAACCAAAGTCAAAGCATCCAAATGCTTTATCCCTTTAGTCGCATCAATCTCCCTTATTCTTTCACACCCGAAATCCCAACACAAATTTTTTGCTTCTCCCAACAATTAATGTCAAATATTTTTTTATTAATAATTGTTCGGGTGTGGACGAATTTTGGGATGTTGTTGGAGGTTTGGGGTTGACGGCGGGTTCAAGTGGGGCCGTGGGAGAGACGAGCAGTGTCGGTGGTTAGCGCCTGTAGGTGTGACGACCGGTGCGTGTTCGGGTGAAGAGAAGAAGGAAACGGGTCGCGCTCGCCGATTCAAGTGTAGTGGTTTTTGGCTGGATGGCCCTCGGCGGCAACGAGAGAGGGCTGCAGTGGTGGCTGGTGGTGAGAAAGAAGATGGGTTTGATTGATGTTTTTGGTCTTTTAGGAGATCATAAGTATAACCTCGCAAATAATGCAAGAGAAGGGTCTCCCAGGCGAATAACTAACAAATTAGAAGAGAGAGACAAATTTGAGAGGACATATGCGGTTCCTTTTACATCAGGTTTAGTGAAGATTCGACTTTTTGGATGAAATTGAGAAATTGAGAAGGACGGACGAAGCATATGAGATGGGGACAAAAATAATAATATACATATTTTATAGGTTTCCTCTCAATTTTATTGTGATTTTTCCCCTAGTTTCCTCCCAATTTTGGAAAAAAATAGGTCCCATCAAAAATTTATTTATTTAATATTTTTTTTTCTTTCTACTGATTTTCTCTCCAAACCAAACGAAAGAAAAAGTTTATTTCCTCTCTTCCACTTTCCTCTCAATCCAAACAGGGGATTGGTCTTATTTCCTCTTTTGTCTCTTGATTTGCTCAAGTTCAATGGGGCAGTTTGGGAGGATGATGTCAGCTGTGGGGGTTGACGGATGGGTGTAGCTGTTATAAGCCTGGTAGAGACCGTTTTTCTCTCTCTTAGTCATTCTCGTGTTGCTTTGAGACAGCTATGAAGGTTGACAGGTGGGGTGGCTAGATCCTAGGCAAGACAAGGTCTACAGCGAGGTAGGAGATAACTGGGTTGCAGAAGATACGATGTGCGTATAGGTGTCGGCGAGTTTGCCTGATGTGGGTTCCGTTATTTTCCTCCCATTTTTCTGACTCAAGTTTGGGTTGTTGTTTGTTTTCTGTGCATGCTTAGGTACTTGTATCCTATTTTTATATCTCTTCGTGAATTATATTTTGTCAGCGTTGGGCATTTCCTCGTAATGTATGAGATTTATTATTCGAGCAAGAAAAAGGCAAAAAAAAAAGGGCTTTATAATTTATATTGTCTTAATTGGAATTGACTGTTTGACATGATTTTGTCACCTCACAAGTCACAGCTCCATGCTAAATACTGCTACTCATCTGGAGTACTTTTTTTATATAGATTTCACATCGAAAAGGATTGATTGAACTTGTAACTTATAGATACGATCATCATTTACACAATGTCTTAGCCATAACTCATAAATGCTTCTGATTCTTAGCAAACCAGCTACGATTTTTCCTATCGATGAGCATGTATTTCTAAATAACAAACAAAAGTAGGAGAGACAAGCCTTCCATCAGGATCACAACAGTGGTCAATGATTAATTGGTGACGAATAACAGAATAAGGTTTTGAAGCTTTTGGGCTAGGACATGATTGATTACCTAGATCCTTTGTCAGGGCTTAGTATTTTTGTTGGATAGCTTCCACGAGTCCAGAGTATTTTGAGCTTCCAAGCCCTTTAGTACACACGGGCCTTGCGCCATATCATTAATGAAGATCACCTAAGATAAAATAAATAAATGTATATATCTTTTGTCAAAAAAGTCAAAGAATTAAATATCTTATTTCACTGCCTTGCCTCTCATCTAAAATTGGTTCGCATTTTTTTTTTTTATTATTCAACCACCTTTAATTTCAAAAGAAAATATAGTAAAACTAACAAAAAATAGAAAGTTAAACAATTTATAACTTTTTCTTATTTGTAAAAAATAATAATAATAATTCAATAATGGCTTTTTTTTATGAAACGAAGAGATACATCTCTCCGCTTTTGAAATTTCAAGGTAATATTTGGATATAATGTCAATGATGAAACCAAAAAATTAGTCGAATGGTTCAATTTAAAAGTTATATATTAGATTGTGTTTGGTATGAGATTAAAAATTTGAAAGAGAAATGTTAAAAAAAAAAGGGATCTGACAGTGAAGTGTTAAGAATGCTTGACAGGAGTTGAAAAATTAGAGGTAAAAATAATTTCTAATATAAATCAAATCAAGTTTTAAATTAAAAATAAATAAATAATATAATATATGTGGTTGAAAATGAGAAGTGGAAGAGAAATAGAGATCTTAAATTAATATTAGATTTGAAAAGGGAAGGGAAAGACACAAAAATCTAAATTGTTCTGAATTGATGCACAATTTGGCTCGAAAAATATCTTTATAGTTGGAAAAAAAAAAAACAAGAATGAAGGAGATGAAAAATTACCTTTATAATTTTTTACGCCCTTTATACCCATTCCAATACATACATTTAGTTTTCAATTATAAAAGTACGGGCTAAAGGATTAGATTTTTTTTTTCTGAACTTTAGTCTATTTAAAAAAATATTTCTTACCTTTTATTTAAAAAAAAACATTTAGTACATCCTTTATTTTTCTGTTATTTATCTAAAAAAAAACAATTTTATAAATATCTTTATTATAAAAATCATTAAGTGAGATTTATCTAAAACTCTTCAAAAAATAATTTGGGATCATTTGAGGTTAATTTATATTTTTTTGATTTTCTATATTTTCAATGTTTAAAAAATAAAAAATTTAATTCTCCACCTTGAAAAATTTTGTAATTCTTTTAGAAAATGGATTGAGTTTTTTTAAATGTTTATGCAAAACTTCATATCTACATATAAAAAAATTGAATTTTTAGAGAAAAGAAGTGAAGACTAAAAATTATAGAATGGAATCATTTTTTTTTTTAAATAAAGTTAAAAAAGTCAAAATATCAATTAAAATTTTATAAAATTATTTTTAAATGAACTAAAATTCAGAAAAGGTTGGTCATTTTAGCCTAAAATACCTTTATTTATAAAATTTAAAGCTTTTTGAAACCCTTGCTAAATTTAAAGTGTCTTTATAGTTGAATAACAAAAACATGAATACAGGAGATGAAATGCTACTTTTATAATTTTTTACCCGGTTTACACCCGTTCCAAAACATACATTTAGTTTTCAACTATAAAAGTACGGCTAAAAAGATCAATTTTTTTTTTTGGAATTTTAACATATTCGAAAAAATGTCTCTTAATTTTTTTATTTATGTTTGACTTTTCTATTTTTTTTTTAAATTTAATACATCTTTTATTGTTATGTCATTTATCTAAAAAATAAAAATTACATAAATAATTCCACGATGAAAATCATTAAGAGAGATTTATCTACAGACTCTTCAACAAAATTGGGATTATTCTAGATTATTTTTTATTTTTTTATTTTTAATGTTCAAAAAATAAAAAATATAATTCTCAATTTTGAATTTTTTTAACTCTTTTAAAAAATGGATTGAGTTGTCCCCCAATATATGTGCAAAATTTCAGATAAAAAGATCAAAATTTGATTTTTTGTTTTTAGAGAAATTGGGCGAATGTTGAAAGTCATAAGATGAATTAAATTTTTTAGAAAATATAAATTTAAAAAAAAATCAAAAATACAGATTAAAAACTCATAAACTTATTTTCAAATGAACTAAAATCCAGAAAAAAAAAATAGTTATCTTAGCCTAAAAGTACGTTTTCTGTAAAATTTAAGGGCTTTTGTGATATCTAAGGAAGCAGCGGCCCAAGCCTGCAGCATTTAGTCCGCCCATACCATATACCATATAGAGCCATGATGCTAGGATGAAGATGAGATAGAAATTCAATTTATTTTTTGGCTTAGCACGTAGAAATGGTTTGTCTAAGTTGGAGCAAAAACTGGTTCAATTTTTGTAGTAAAGGAACCCAAAAGGGACAAGATAGATTTATGTTTTTCTTTTTTTCCTAAAATTGTCATCTAAGCATTTTAAAATTCAAGATTGGTGTGTCCCATTATTATTATTATTATTATCATTATTTTGTCTCATCCCCAACATCCCAGACACCAACCCAATGCTACCAAACATCAGAATTCGAGCTTCTCTCTCCGATAATCTAAAAGCACATTTAAAACAAGGAAACAGAGAATAAATAAAGGTGGAAACGGAATGGAACTGCTAAAGTCATGCTTCTAATTAATCCAACAAGAAAGGCTTTTCTAGTTCGTTCGTGTGAAGAAGGCAAATAAAAGATGTATTCCTCTTACAGAGATACAGCCCGTAGAAGAAAAACTCATCTAGCCAGTACACATACACCAAGTTTTGGTCCAACAGCTTGCAGTGTCTTCGGCCCTCGAGTCTTTAACTAGACGCCACGATCAATATTTTCAGTCAAAGATTCTACCGACCAATTTCCATTGGAATTGGTCAAAGTTTTTGCAAAACGAATCACGCCATTGTCTCGTCCTTTACATGCAGTCAATTCTACGAGAAAGGGGTTACAGTCGAGTTGACTGTACCATCTCCAAAATTTCATGGTTGATAATCAACAGACCCTCTGACGGTCAGTCAACCTTTCGGGTCCGGTCAAATACGTGCCTGTATTCATGTTTATCTAATTCAAGTCTTCTGACTTTGGGCAACTTATATTTTTTCAATCTTGTATCTTGAAAATTTGATCTCAAATTTAACTAAGATATTTGTTTCAATTACAAGCTTCAGCAATGAAACTTAGCAAATAAGGAGAAATCTAGGAATGCTGTTTGTGATATGGATGGAAGCAAATTTTAATGCTAAGGAATTAGAGAGAAATAACTAGCATTATTATTATTATTATTATTTTATTCTTTAGGATATTCTAAACTCAAAAACTCATATTAATTTCTCATTATTCAATCGAATACACAAGACGAAAATAGTTATCTAAAAAAACTTTATATACATAAATATTAAAACTCGAAACGACTTATTTAGCGATTAAAATCTCTTTCGCTCAAACCACCCATCATATGGTAGAACGGCTTTCCTTTTTATGTCAAGTAAGTATGAGCTGATCAAACTGACAGGAGCAGCATTTAGGATACATCTCAAGCAAGCAAAAATTAGAACATAAGTCTCGAACTCATAGGCAGAGGGGAATGTCTTGTACAGAACTGAAATCACATCAGTCACCAGCCTGCTAGTGAGAATTATCAACTTTCTCTAACACTAATCTAACTAGCTAAACATTAACATCCCTAAGAGCCCCAACCTCCAGGATACCCACACGTACCGCAACCATACTCTGTTGTCTTTGTTGAGTACCAATCTGAACCTGGATTCTGTGTCAATGGTGATGGATATTGATGCTGATACACTCCGTGACCCACAGCAACAGATGGTGGAAGTTGATATGGAAAGGCTGGCGGAGGCGTAGGATAACATGCTTTCACTGGATAACAGAACTTCGTAGAGGGCAACCCAGTTCCTGGTGAATGAGAGCTGAAGCTGATATCATCCAGGGAAGGATATAAGGATGCTTTCCCTGACTTAACATCGACTTCCAGGGAAGGATAATGAGCTTTTTAACTGATGAGAAAGGAATTCCTCGTGGCAAATCAACTTTTGGACTATCAATTCCTTTCTTCTTGACCTTCTCAATCACCTCATAGGAAAAATTCAGGACCCCATTTGGCCTCCCATCGCTATTTCGAACCTGATAACTTACAAATCTGACACTGCCGTTAAATTCCTCACTCAAATCCTTGAATGGGACACAAACTTCCCCAATAGTTCTGTTTCCAAAGATGGCTCCTTCGCAGCGCAATTCAAATTTGAAAAAGAGATTATCACCTTGATCAGGAAGTGAAGTGGTATTGAGATCAAACTGCATCATATGATTCCATTCAGGATTGCTACCTCCTTCTCTGTCCACCGGTGTCTTTTGCCGCTGCAGAAGTTGCTGCTGTTCGTCCTTCTTAGCTTCATCGTTGAAAACATTCAGAGATGTCTTTTGCCCCTGCAGACGTTGTTGTTGCTTTACATTCTTCTTCAACACACCATTAAGAAAGTCTACTGCTGTCTTTTGTCGCGGTTGTTCATTCTTCTTTGGTTCATCAATAAAAATGGAAACAACAACATAGACTGAGAGCTTTTGAAAGAAATTGAACGTTTTGAGATCTCTGCAAGAAATTACTTTCAGTTCTAGGGAGATTCCCTCCATACTATGTTCTGCTTTCTTCTTTATTGAGCTATTGTGACCTCTTTCAACACAGCATGAAAGGAAGCTTCCTTTTAGCATAAATCTACCTCTAGGAACAAGCAGCAAAATAAAACAAAGGCAGAAGCTTCAACCAAGTCTCCAAAGTATCTATCCATGATACACGTTATTTGACCGGCCCACTTGAGGAGCTTTCAAGCTTCAACCCACCATGGATTAAGAAAGCCATTAAAGGCTTGACATTGGACCAACCCTAATAATACCGCTACAGCTTCTATTTTATAATTTTATATGCCCCATCTCCTGCCTTTTAACTATCACTCGAAACTATTTTGTCAGAAAAGGGATATGCATAATCATGACAACTAGCACCACAGTCCAAATGGTGACCCAATTTTCTATCAACCCAAAGCAATCCGTACAAATCAGTCTAGAGATTCAAACTCTGAGGCCAGCGTGTTTTGAATTGGCCTTTTGTTTTTAAGGTACCAACGGTTTTATGATGTGACATCCTGATCAATCAGTAAATCACTTTGTCCATACCAACAAAAAAACAAAAGGAAGAAGAAGAAAAACCACTTTGCCCATACAGAAACCGTAGCTTAATTGGAGATCTAGACGCAGTTCGATAAAATGAGGTAACTTAAAACGAACACTAACTAACACATCAATGAAGAACTCTAAGCAAGCACAACAAAATTTTACCAAGTGATGAAAGAAAGACAAACTAACAATTGATACATAAGCACACAACATTACCCTTCTACATAAAGTTTTACGTGTTCATTTATGCAATGATCAGCACACCTAGAAAAGAGATGTGCACTTCACCGTAAGAAAACAATCAAGCACAAGTCACTATAGCATCAAAGCTTCCTACTGGAGAATCTCACCCGTGACAATACAAAAAACCATTTGAAGGGATTCATTTACAAAGTCTACTCCTTGCGAGAGTTGAGACCATGCTGTGCCTCTTTTTGATCAAAAAGGAAAAGAGAACCAGTTATTTTCTACCTTGGAGCGTAGAAAAAAAGATGATTACTCAATTGTTTTGCTATTTGCAAGGGAATATATCATTCTCTACTCTCAAACTCCTAAAGACATTGCAGGATGACCGTACACGAAAAAAAATTGACGCCACTAAGCAAATCATATAACACTGTTAAAATGCTGCATGCCCACCAGCAGCGGGCCACAATTAAAGCTCACATCCATAAGCATGGCATAGAATAGCAGGTCATTGTGTCAGTGCAATCAATCTCTGTGCGAGCAAGTATTGTTGCTTGAAATTTGGAGGTCGAAGTTTGCAGAATGCCAAAGTCTAATTGGATTCAAGATTACAAATTTGAGCTGCATAAGTTAACTACCTGAAATAAAAAATGCATAATAAAATCACATATCCTTATCCAACCAAGTCGTGAAATGCGATAGTCTGTGTCTACATCAGCGACTTTTGGTCTTTTTCTGGCCTTGAGCTTGGACTGCTGAGCAAATCTTCTTCCAGCAACGCATAGCAATGAGTGAGGGTATTACAACCCATGAGAAATTTGCACCAATATAGTACACATAATAGTAATATCGACTTGCAGCAAAATGATCGCCTTCCAAGAAGGCAGTCAGGAAATACACAGCTGTTCCATAGAGCTGTCCCAAACAAACAGCAAACTGAAGTATGTAGCTGTATGATTTTCCTGAAGCAATAGCATACCTGCCAAGTGTCAGCAAGCAACTCTGTTAAGAATTAAGGGATTGAAGGTAACGGAAGATATTTAGGGTCTGTTGACATTTAATCAGAAAAAATAAATCTCATTCTAGATTCCAAGTCAAGTGAAATCATACACTGCCAGGAGGCTAGCTGGACCCTCAAAAACAGCAGTCAATCCTTCAACAGTAACTGTTGCAGCATCCCTTGCCGCATATCTTGAATCACCTTTGCTATATTCTTTCCCTGTCAGAAATACAATGAGTACCATTATTTACCAAAGATTTAGAATTCCACTTCTCCCTCTCTCTCTCTCTCTCTCTCTACAAATAAAGGTCTTGGAAAAACAATTAAAGAGTTACAATGGCTTCTCAACTTTAAATAATGCTTACTGCCATAGATGAAATGAAAGCATCTATGAAAAAAAGAGAAAAAGAAGAGGCACTTACAAACTTCAGATAGATAATGAGGAGTCTTGTCCTTGTAAAATTCTGGAGAGAAAGCAAAATAACCCTCAAGAATCAAGTGTGTGAGACCAGTGAAAGCCCACCAGCACATAAGCAATCTATCAATTTTTGCTATTTTACGAGACCTTCCTGGAATAGGAGAAATGGTGTGTAGTAATTAATAACACAGAAAAAAAGTTCTATTCTCTGAAAGTAAGTTCATTAGATTAATAAAATAAAGAGCACAGGCTATCGGATACACTAATCAAACAAATGTTGTAATAAAAGCAAACATGCTAGAAACCAAAAAATTAACATGTTGCATTTGCGAAATTTGAAACCTACAATGAATCTTAAAAAAAACATTTAAACAAGAAACAGTTCACTTCCATCCTTTGCTTGATTTGACCTTATGGTCCAGAATCCATATAATGACCGTCAATATAACCCGATGCCAGGAAACTTAAGATCACTGTCAGTAAATAAAGTTATAATTCATAAAGTTGCGACTAACTGTTGTACACTTGCAGGTCTTATTAGAAGGGGCCGCATAGCTCCATCTTAAGGAGAAAAGAGAATAACACACAGAATTCAAATCCTAAACTAAGTCAAATAGTTACAGAACAAGAAAATATAAAAGAATTAATTCTCCAATGGGAAAGAATTGTAGTTCCAAATCCAAAGTGAACAGGCCTTAATACCTTTTCCAGTCTACTGAGTGAAAGCAAGGAACAAAATTTGATCTTGAACTGCACATGTAAAAATTGGAACAAGATCTCAAATTTCAAGTAGCAAATGTGGAGTAATGTGAAATAAGTTCACCTCTCTCTCTCTCTCTGTTTCTTTTACTTCTTATTGACTGTTTTGTTTTTTATGTTTCTGCCAGAGAGGTTGCCTAACAAGGCAACAACCATTAATGACTGACCAGTGAACTCTGAGCAGAGAATAATTAAGTGATAAACTGAAAGTGGCTCCCAGTAAGAAGATCCAGAGACGGAAACAGTTTAGCTTCCGCAGCCATTTAAGTGTACTCTGAAAAGACCCAGTATCTGATTAACGGTTGAAATCAAATTGGGCCATACAGAATATGCATGCTTCAAAATCTATACTTACTGCTACTGCTAAATAAATAAAAACTACAAACTGCAAGATTGATTAAAGGGAATCCATAAATTTGCGACTCAGTAAGACAGCTAAAAAGAGTGTAAAAAGAGAGGAAAAGAGGGCAAACCAGAGACGATCCAGATGAGAGAAACGACGAGAAGGGAGGCGAGTAAATAGACACTGACAATGGTTGATTGAGTGAGGAAATTAGGAACATAGCCAAGCAGTTTAAGATCTGTTGGTGCGTATGGATGCGGCTGCCCCTCCATTTTCGCTTCTTTGCCTATGCCTCTATCTTGCAGGTTTAGTTTAGTAAGTTGAAGTCTCTGGTTTTAAGGTACTTAAGAGTAAATTATAAATTAGTCTCTCTAGTTTCAATAAACAAATTAATTAATCCTTTAATTATTTAATCTATTGATAAGTATTGACTGCATTTAATTTAATTATTATTTCATTCAAAAACAGTTTTTTTTATCAATACTTTATAATATATATTTTTTTAAAAAAACAAATAATTAAATAATTAGCTTTTGAAACAAAATGGACTGATTAATTCTGTTTTAAACTAAAGGGACTAATTTATAATTTACTCGGTACGTTAGGTACTTCTGTGTTTCCAAAAAAACTTAGGTACCTCTTATTGAGTCGTCGTGACTCGTGATGCAACTTGTTTTTGAATTTCTATTAGATTTGTGGATTAGATCGAATCAGCGCAGTGCGCTGTCGAATTGGGATCTTAGGAGTGGAGGGTTGTATGCCCCTTGTCAACGTTTTGTACTTTCTCCTTATCTTTTTCTTGGTTTTCCTTTGACTTTTAGCAAATGATTTTAATTAGATATCTATATTGAAGAGTTTCTTCAGTGAGAATGTTCAATGTCAATTATCAGCACTTTAATTTGGATTAATATTCCTGGATAGATTGTCATTTCAAATGTTATTTGAACTTTTTATTATATATATATATATAGCTTTAATTAGTTATATGGAACTTTTTTTAATAATTCTAGATTTTTTTACTACTTTATAAATTGCCACGAGCATTAATGACGGAACTAAAATATGAAGCATGCCTCTTTTGTAGAATTGGTATCAATTAACGAAAACAGCGAATCCAAATTCAAAATATAAATAAAAAAAATTAATACCATTACTTGTTTTTATATATTAAAAAAACACGTTTAATCTATTCTTATATTTTGAGTTGGCTTTTAATTTAATTTTTTTGTTAAATTTTTTTATTAAATTAAGCATTACTATGGCTATTAATTTCACCTGGCCCATGTTGAAGCAAATAGCGAAATAAGAGATAGTTAAAAGTCACTCGTTTATTCTTTCAATTTGAATTATAAAGTTTAGTTTCTTCAGTTATAAATTATGAGAAATTAGACGGTCTTAGAGATATCTATATATGTATCCATAACTATCCATAAAATCAAGATTGTTTTACTAAAATACCAACAATAGTAATTTTAATAACCATTTTAATTTCTTTTGGTTAATACCGGTTTTTGCTAACTCAATGAATACGATAGGAATTTTAATACTTATTTTAATTCCTTTTACATATATAAAATTAATTATTATCTTTCCCCATTTTTATTAGCTTAATGACTATAATAGAAATTTTAATACATAATTCTCGTTTGAATTTTTATTAACTTAATTAATAGTTTTCGCATATAATGTTTATTATTATTTATTTATTTTGGCAGTTTGTATAATGAATATTTATCAATTGTGGTGGCTATTAATTTCACCCGGCCCAGGTTGTCAAATTATACACTTAATATATGGTGGCATATTTAATATACACCAACTGACTTAATGCAACCAATTAAGGTTTTTGCCCAAAAGCAAACATAATGCTTTGTTTGGGAGAGAAAAAAGTAGAAGGAAACAGTGAAATAAGAGATGGTTAAAAGGCATTCGTTTCCTCTTTCTAGCTATAATTATAACTTTCCGTCGATCTACTTTATAGATTTTAGGATAAATTAGTTTTTTGCCCTGCTAATCATTTAAAAAAATTATTTCAATTTGATGATTTTTTCTATATTGTAGATATATCAAAATATATTAGATTAAAAATTAAAAAAATTATTTTAATTTTATGATTTTTTAATCAAAATTTTATATTTGATTAATTATTTATTATGTTTTTCATAAATTTTACTAAAAACTAAAAGAAGTGGAGAGTTTACTTGTCTATTTGAATAGTGAATGAACAGTGATTTTCCACTTCTTTGGTGTGACTAATTTTTTTTTTTTTTAATTTTAGTTTCGGAGCAGTGAAAACTATTCATTCAACAGCTTTTTTTTCATTTTCAATTTATTTCATTGTGGTTCCTAAAATTTTATATAAAAATTTTAATCCCCTAACCGATGCACTACACATGTCTTTTTTTTTTTTTTTGGTTTTTTTCTTTACTTTTTTCAATCAATTTATACTCTTTTTTATTTAACGGGGGTTAAAAATTTGAAAAATTAATTTTTTCTTTGCTTTTTGCCAATCAATTTATGTTTTTTTATTTAATTGGGTGTTAAAATTTTAAAAAATCAATCGTAACTTTTTTCCACATGAACTAACTATTATATGATATATCTTTTTATATTTTAAAATTAACATATACTTTAGCTTATAAAATTACTCTTATTATTTAAATTTATCATTTTTTTTATGAAAATTCTCATCCAATTAAATGAAATTTTATTTGCTAATATTATATAATTTATTTTTCTCTATGTTTGAATTTTAGAATAAAATTTTAAAACATGATTGTTTTCTCTTTTTTAGAAAATAAATTGGTATAATATATATCATGAATTCTTTGAATATTTAAATGATAGTTGCATATATATAGATATATAATTATTTTATTCTAAAAGCTTAAAAGTGAATTTCAAATAATTTATCTCAGTTTACTAGAAATGATCAAGACGTATAAAAAAAATTATTGAATTGTTGATTTTATTAAAAATTAATTATATACCTTCCAACACAATACACATTATTTACTATAAATATTTTTTTTAACATTATAGAATCAATTTATCTAAAATAAAATAATTAAAGTAATTTTTTAAAAGAACCAATTTAACTACTTTTTTTATGCTAATCTTATTGATTATTTGCAAATAAATATATATAGATCAAATGCATATACATCAAGAAAAAGATCTTCTCACCAACATTAAACAACAATAAATTTTTATTTTTTATTGGTTAGTTTTTATGCAAGTCTATATAGTAATTGTAACTTTTTTTTTTTATACATTCTTATAAAAAAATATAATTTTAAACTTTTTTTTTTGAATTCTTAATTAATATTTTAGGTTTAAATTATTACAAGTTTTTATTTAAGAATTTCTGAATAAAAAAGAATAAATCATGTTTTTTTTAAGAAGAAATTTTATGAAAAACACAAAACAAATATTAATAATTAAATAAAAAATTAATGAAAAATTATAACATTTTAAAATGATTTTGTTCTATTTAACCATAGCGTTGCGCGAATAATTTGAAAAATTAATCTTCTTATCGATATTAAATAAGAATATTTTTTTTATTTGTTAATTTTTGTAAAAGTTTGTCCATTTATTATAACTTTATTTTTTTGAACACAATAGTGTGAAAATTTTAGTTGTTTTAATTCTTGATTAATATTTTAGTTAAAATTATTACAATTTTTAATTTTAAAATCAATCCATAAAAAAGAATGATTTATGTTTCTTAAATAAAAAAATTTACAAAAAACATTAGAAAAAATTAATTCAATATAATATTATAATTTAAAAATTTAAAAATAATTTTGTTCTCCTGGACCCGTGGCGTAATGTGAGCAACTAACTAGTTTTCTACTTAAAAAAGTGACTTCTTCTTTTTTATGTGGATTCTTAACTAAAAACTTATTTTATAAATTTAATCTAAAGATTAAAAGTATTTTTCAGATAATATATATATCACTTAAAAGTTATAAAAATGCATCATATAAATTATTATTTAAAAAAAAAGAGAGAGAAAAATCTTATTTTAAAATTTTATTAAAAAATTCATATATAAAGAAAAATAAATTATATTTGTCAATAATTAAAATAAAGAATAAAGAATAAAAAAATAATTAGATGACAATCTTCATAAAAAATGACAAATTAAATGAATAAATTTTTAAATAATAAAAATAATAGAATCTAAATTATATATTCATTTTAAAATATGAAAAACATATCATATATATTTTTTTATCGCTAAGCTAGATGTGAATCCAAAAATTAACGATCAATCTTCTATAATCATGTTTCAAAAATCCATAATGAGAAATAAAAAATAAATAAATCACTAAAAAAAAAAAAGAATTAACTTGAGAACTAGGCATGTGCGGGCACGCTCTAAAAAAACACACACATACACACACAAACGAATGACACGTAGTTCACTTGTTATGCAACAGATGACACGTCATCAATTTGTAGTTTTTTGGCAAATTTTAGTTTGCCGAAAAAATAGATTTTTAATTTTCGATCCTTTTAAAGCTAAATTCAATCCCAAAAAACCTACAAAATCACAAACATAATGTCAACAACTCTTTTAGAATTTCAAAACCTATTTTAATTCTTACAAAATATACAAAAATTTAAATCAAACTCAAAATATTTTTGAATCTTGATCTATATCCTCTAATTATTCCATGGCTTGTGTTAACTATAAACAAATTTTATTCTTCGAGACAAACAAATTGATAGTGAGTTGGACGATCGAAGTGATCGAAATGGACCCCCTCCCTCTCTCTCCTTTAAGCATTCGTGGTTTAGATTGCAATACAAATAAAGTTCAAGATCGAAAAATATCCAAAAAATTGAGAGATCAAAGTGCAAAAGGCAAATAACGAGTAAAAATACATAGTAAATATTAGTCTAGATGAACAATATCTTATGGGAGTTGAGTTACACGAAATGCACAATGATTTAGCATTATATTTTAGTGTTTTAATTAGTATATCTATCTATCTTTTTAATACTCAAAATCTTTAAATCTATCCTTAAATTTCCATCCTATATGTTTTTGACATTTTTTAAAGTGTTCAATATATCTTTCCAATTAATTTTTCTAACAATGAACATTTTTTTTATTAATACCCTTTACTAAAATGTAAAAAAAAAATCACATGGCTCGCATGTTCTATTTACGAAGCTTCTAGAATTTTTTATTTTTTATTTTTTATTTTTTATTTTTTTTATTTTTATTTTTTTGCATTTCAATTGGGGATATTTCGAT